AGTTGTTTAATTTCTACATATTTGAGGATTTTCCAGGTATCTTTCTGTCACTTGATTCTTAGTTTAAGTCTTTTTTTGTCAGAGAACATACTTTGTATTATTTTTATTTTTAAGTTTGTTGAGATTTATTTTATGGCTCAGTCTGCTCTAACTTGATGAGTGTCCATGTGCACTTAGAAAGAATGTACATCCTGATGTCTTTGGGTGGAGTATCTTCTAAATACCCATTAGGTCAAGTTGGTTGAAACACTGGCCACGTCTTCTGTATTCGTATTTATGTTCTCCCGGCTACTGAGCGGAGGGACTCTGCACTGTGACTGTGGGTGCATCTACTTTTCTTTCCCTAGAACGGTTTTTATTCTGTGTATTGTGAAGCTCTGTTCTTGGGTGCGTGCACATTGAGTACTGTTCTGCTTTCTTGAAAAAATTATTCTCTTTATCTTTGGTAATACTCCCTTTTCCGAGGCTTGCTGTGCCTGATTCTAATATATACACTCCAGCTTGCGTTAGTGTTTGTGTGGTGTATTTCTGCCCATCTAGTTTAACCTATATCTATGTTAGTGATTATTGTAGTTGGTTAGGTCTTACCTTTTTTAAATCCAGTTTAACAATCTCTGCCTTTTAGTTTGAATGTTTAGATCATTTACACTTGATGCTACTGTTATTTGGATTGATTTAAACCTATCATCTTATTTATTTCCTTTTACCTCAGCTCTTCTTGATGATTTCCTCTTCTCCTACCTTTTGAAGAAAAACTAATTTTTAAAAATAATTCCAGTTGATCTCCGCAAATGGCTTATTACTTACTCTTCCAAAAAATGATGACTGGTTGTCTAGGGATTGTAATATCCTTCTGTAGCGCATTGCGACGTGTTCGGCTGCAACTGGGCCACGCGGCCCGCAGCGGGAAGCAGGTGAGACCTGGCGCGTGCACCGCGGTCCCCCTGTCCCCTCGTGCTGCTCCTGTCTTTCCCTTCTCACGGTCCCAGGCCCGCACCTGGTGCGTGCACCGCGGTCCCCCTGTCCCCTCGTGCTGCTCCTGTCTTTCCCTTCTCACAGTCCCAGGCCCGCAGGTGAGACCTGGCGCGTGCACTGCGGTCCTCCCGTCCCCTCGTGCTGCTCCTGTCTTTCCCTTCTCACTGTCCCAGGCCCGCACCTGGCGCGTGCACTGCGGTCCCCCTGTCCCCTCGTGCTGCTCCTGTCTTTCCCGTCTCACAGTCCCAGGCCCGCAGCGTGAAGCAGGTGAGACCTGGCGCGTGCACTGCGGTCCTCCTGTCCCCTCGTGCTGCTCCTGTCTTTCCCTTCTCACGGTCACAGGCCCGCAGCGTGAAGCAGGTGAGACCTGGCGCGTGCACTGCGGTCCCCCTGTCCCTCGTGCTGCTCCTGTCTTTCCCTTCTCACGGTCCCAGGCCCGCGCTCCTTGTCTGCATCTGCTCCAGATAGTCAGCTATCTTCTAAAGTGATTGAAATGAGAAAAATATGTTCAATCTTTGCCATGATTTGTACCATTTTCATGCTTTTTATTTCTTTTTGTGAAAAGCCCATTTGCATCAGGTATCCTTTCGCCTCGAAATGTCCTTTAGCAGTTCCTGTTAGTGCGAGGCTGCTGCTGGTGACTCCTCACAGCGTCTGTCGGTCTGAAAGCATCGTTACTTCACGTCCGTTTTCTCTCTTCACTGGACTTTACTGTGAGCAGGTCTAGGTTTCCGGGAAGGTGGAGCAGAGCGGACAGGGTTCCGGTGTCCCTGCCCGTCCAGGCGTGCCCAGCTGCCCCGTGGACCCTCAGCATCCCCCTGTGCTCGCTTGGAAAGGCTCCTGCTCATCCTCCATGCCATCTTCCCGGCTCGCCGCCTCCGCTGCCCACAGCCTCGGTCGTCTGGCTTACCTGTGGCCGCAGCTGTGAGCTTCAGGCAGGGCCTAGGACCGTCTTGTCTCTGGCTCCGCTTCGTTCCCTGCGTCCAGAGCCGGTTGGGCGGAACTCAGGAATGTACTGTGAGTGGGTGAGGGAAAGCAGGGACAAAGACAGGAAGGGCCACTTCCATGATGGCATTTCCAGGGAACGTTAGAGCTGAGCCATGTAGAGCTGAGCCATCCTCTTTCTTTATTGTTTAAAAAAAAAAAAGTCCATGAAAATAGTACTTGTTAAAACACTTGGCAGTTTTAGGCGCTCGATGGTGAGTGTCCCCTCTCTTCACTACAGTTGTAGGTAATGACTGTGAGCAGTTCCAGACTTTTCCCTAAATGAGTATGTATGTATGTCTATGTACACATAGACATACACACATATACATACACACGTACACATATACACATATACATGTGCACACATACACCTATACATATACACATAAACATAACTTGTGTTAAGAAATGGGCTCATAGTATATGTCAAGTTCTTCGCTTTGTTTTTCATTTGCTGTTCTTGGCCTCTCCCTACCTCAGTGCGTGCCTCCAGCACCTTTAATGGTCGGACAGTGTGCCAGTGCCCAGATGCATCACATTTCACTTGCGCTTCCCTCTTTGATAGACGTTCTGAGGCAATTCTTCGCTTACGCTGAAATACTGACGCTGACACCCTTGAGGGCTCACCATGTGCCGAGTACCCTGCTGTGAGCTTCCAACACGTGATCTCATTTCACTCTTTTTAAAAAAAATAGGTTTTTATTGATTTTTTTTTTAGAGAGAGGAAGGGAGAGAGACATAGAAGCATGGATGTGAGAGAGAAACATCGAATGGCTGCCTCCTGCACGCCCCCTACTGGGGATCGAGCCCACAACTGGGCATGTGCCCTGACTGGGAATCGAACCAGGACCTCTCAGTCCCTGGGATGGCGTTCGGTCCACTGAGCCACACGGCCGGGCTCACTCTGTTCCGTGGCACTTTCTGAGGCTCACAGGGTTGTCCCTGCCTTCACCGCCCTGCAGCGCTGCGTGGGAAGTGCGGAACCTGACGCTGTGGCCTCTGCCCCTCTGCCCTCTCAGGTCACTGCAGCAGAAAGAGACCAGGTTTCCCAAAGTGCTGGTGCCAAAGCACCCTTCTGCGAGCCCTGAGCGCCCTCCCATCTGTAACCACTGCAGTGGACTTGGCCCCGCTCAGGCCCCCCTCGCCCTCTCCTCCTTTCCTGAAGACGGAGGGCAGGCCCCCTGTGGCCACTTGAGGCTGGATGTGGATCTGTCTATCCGTCCTATGGCCCCAGAATCAGATTGGGGGTCTTACTTGCTTGATTTCCCAGGGGAGGCTGACATGAATGTGGTCCAGTGAAATGTAATCAGGGACTTTAGACTGTCTGTTTTGACTTTCCCAAACCTCCTGGCTGCCAGATCTCGACCTTTCATCCCAGGGGCGGTATAAGTCTCTCACGGACAGGCTTGAGTTGATGGATTTCTTCCTGTAGTATGCCGGGCCAAAAGACTGCCTCTTTGAGTTCCACATTTCTAGTCTTTTCCTGAAAATCAAGGTGGATTTCCGACTTCAGCTGATTCCGTGTGCACAGCCGGAGGTAGCGTATGTAGTTCCTGGACTGTCAGGTGATCAGAGGAGCAGACGGGCAGGCAGGGGCCCCTTTCCATCCGCCAGTCCCACTTCCCTCTCACGGAGGCCTCCAGGCCGCCGTAAGCCACTGCTGATTGCATTGAGAGCCCCTCACCCATGCCGCTGTCTAAGACAGCTTTGTTGAGGCATAGGCTTCATGCAATGAAAGCCACCCACTTACAGCATCCAGTGACATGAGTTTGGGTAAATGTACAGTCATGCAGCCATTGCCATAGTCAAGTTTGAACATTTCCATCACCCTCTGTTTGCCCCTTTGTGGCCAGCCCCATCCTCCCTCCCTCCCCTCCATGGGCCCAGGCAACCACTGACCTGTGTTTTGATGCTGGGTTTTTAGAATTTCATACATCTGAAATCATGTGGTATGTGGTCTTCTCTGTGTGGCTGATTTTTCTTACTTAGCAAAATGTGTTTGAAATTTGTGCCTGTGGTTACCAGCCGTTCATTCTTTTTCATTGCCGAGTCGTGTTCCACGGGACGGATACCCCTCGTTTCCTGCGTGCGTTCCCTGGGTGGCGAGCATGCGGAGCTTGCCATTGTGTCCTGTCCCGGATAATGCTAATGCGAACCTTTGTGTACGAGTCTGTGGGTGGACATACTTTTTCATTTCATTTGGGTAAATAAATGTCTAAGAGAGAATTGTTGGGTTGAATAATAAGTGTATATTTAACTTTTACAGAAACTGTCACTTTTCCAGATCCCCGGGGCTGGTTTGTATTCTCCCGGGCAATGTCTGTGCGTTCCTGTCGCTCTGTGTCTTCATATCCAGCACCAGCCCTAGGTACTCTTGCAGTTCGAGTTCTCGTTGTGAGTGTGATGTTACCTCATTGTGGCTTTTGCAGTCTTTGTGTTTTGTTATATCTTTAAACTTTCTTCTGAAAACGTTTAGATTCACAGAAGACCTGCAGGTCGTACGGAGAGTTCTCGAAGAGTGTTCCCAGCTCCCTCTGATGTGGGGGTTCTCAGCCAGTGGTGGTTCTGCCCCCACTGGCCCTTTGGCAGTATCTGGAGTCGTTCAGACATTTCTAGTTGTCATGTCATGGGGTGGTAGACAGCCAGGGGCGTGCTGCTGGCACCTAGTGGGTAGAGGAGACAGAGGTGGCCATCAGTGTCTCTTTGGGCCTTTCTTTCTGCATTTATTGGTCAGTTAATTTCCTCCCACTGTCTCGGGACCTGTCTTCCAAGTCTACCTGGGCCTGAAGAATCAGTTAAAAAAGGAAGAAAGGTTTTCTCTCGTCCCAAGTGGACAGTTTCAACCTCCAGTGACCTCCAGACCAGAGGATCCGGTCCTGTCCCTGTAGGATGTTGCCTCACATTGGAATGATCATCTTTTGATGTTCCTGGACACACCTTCCCTGCTCTGGACAGAGGTTGCAGACTTTCCTTTGCTCCCTGGTTGTGTGATCTGCGTGTTGCCCACGTAACTGTTGGATCATTTCTCGTTTCTACAGTCAGATTATCGCCAGAGGGCTACTCGATATCTTCCGAGACTTCAGTAACGATGAAGAAGATTTCTTAACGGTCATGGCGATCGTGGTCAGATTGTCAGAAGATGCAGGTTTGTATGAGGAGTGTATGCTTTTACTTTTTACTTGTGCATTTCCAAGAAATTGCTGATAACCAGTGATTGCTGACATAAACAACCCTGTTTACTAATCAATACATTTTAAGCAATGTCTGCTCTGGAATGGGTTTTGTCATGAAGAATGGGTGTCTTGTTTGGCATCGAATGATCCTATTTTCAGAAAGTTAGAGTGACTGACGGCTGTGGATGCTCTCTGCCCTGGCAGGTGGGCCTTTTGCATTTCGTGAGTTCTGCAGACCATTGGTGCTAAAAATACCAAACCAAAAGAAGGCCTTCGGATGACAACAACCCAGGCATTACTTTCCCTCACCTATGGTCTTTGTAGACTAATCTTGATTTTTCTTTCTCTTTCTGCCTCTGTGACTGCTGTCCTGGAAGAAAGCCAATTGCTGTGTGGTAGACACAGACCCTAGCCCCCTCCCCACCCCTCCCCAGAAAGATGAGCTCGATGAGTGAGAAGTGGGTTTGCCATACTGATAGCTGCCCCCGCCCCCACGTTTATAATGACTGATGAACAGCCTCAGAAAGTTTCAGAAATCTTAGGCTTGCTTTAGATTTTGATCATTTTAACTGAAAATAGAAAAATAAGCCTTCCATAACTCCCATATTAGTTTAAAATATTCATAAGACTATGACACAACACTTTTAAAAAGGCCCAAGTGGATGTTTTGAGTCCTTAAATGGACGCTCTTTATCAGTGAGTGAGTCACCATTCACAGCACCGAAGCAACCGCACGTCTGCGTTAAGTGTGATGTGGCGCATTGGCGCTCGAGCCGCTCTTTCGTCTAATGCTTTGCCTTGGAAATAGCTGGGATGCGCAGGCTGCGGGGGAGAGCAGTCATGAGAGAATGATCCATGATGTGTGCGTCCTGGCTGGGGTTTGATGAGCACAGCCCATAGGCCTGCACGTGTGCCGTCAGTGGTGACGGCTTCCGGACGCCGGCCCAGCTCGCGCCCCTCGGTGTATATGTGGCTTGTTATATAGAGCTGTCGTTCTCTCTTCTCTCTGGTTTTATGTTGCCGTGTAGCTTACTAGCTTTTTAAGCCTGTCTGTCGCATAAATACTCTAAGTGGGAAATGATTTTTAAACTGCATTTGTCTAATTTTTTTGATGAAGTATTTTAGTAAGAAAAGCTAGAAACTGTCAGTTTGTACTATATAAGATGCTTGGCTTATCCTTCTATAATCCTTTTCTTGTTGTTGTTTTATTGCTGCAGAGCCCACAGTGCGGACTGAGCTGATGGAACAGATCCCTCCTGTTGCTGTTTTTTTGCAAGAAAACAGATCGAATTTTCCAATGGTGTTCTCCGAATATCTTATACCTATTGTTGTGCGGTACCTCACCGACCCAAACAATCAGGTATGAGAAACCGTGACCTTAAGATCTCTGTAGCACATTCTCTTTGGTCTCATGAACGGGCCTTCGGAAATCGGAAAGCAGCTTCTGAGAGTTCGGTGGCCTGGGCACAGTAGGTCGGTCTGTGCCCCATCCTCCAGTCACCTGGGAAGCAGCAGCACCCATTCTTATTAACATGAGATGCTTTTTTTTTTTACTTTGTATTATGGAAATTTTCAAGCACACACAGCAGCAGAGAGAATAGCAGAATGAATGCTCGTGCGTGTGCGCCCAGCCCCAGCTCTCGGCGCTCGGCAGTCTTGTCATTTCTCTCGCCGACGTAAATCCAGCTCAGATCAAAGCAGTCCCCAGACGCCGCATCATTTCCGCCGTGAGGCTTGAGACTTGCACTTGGAGAAATCTAGACACTTTAAAAAACATAATGGCAGTACCATTATCACAAGTGTAAAAATTATCAGTAGTTCCTTAATATCATCTGCTGTCTATCTCGTCATTGTTCAGATTTTCCCCAGTTTTCTCATAAATCTGGTTTTGCACGTAGTCTCTTCAAATCAGGCAGCACACCAGATTCACACTGGATGTGGTCGACATGTCTTTAAATCTCTTTTAATTTATAAAGTTCTCCCTCCCTCTTCGCCCTGGTGTTTATTTGTTGGGGGAAGTGGGGTCATTAGTCCTCTTGGATTTCCCCCACTTGGGATCTGGCTGAACTTGTCCCTCCTCATGTTGTTCGAGATGTTCCTCTGTTCTCAGTATTTCCTACGAACTGGTGGGTCATTTAGAGGCTCTGTCGGACTTCGATTTTTATGTCGCACAGTGAGAACACGTTCTGGGTGCTGCTGGGTTTTCCTGCCACATCCAGTGAGGCCTCAGAAAGCTATGTGGTCACTGGGAGCAGCTGTGGGTGATCACTGCCCAAGTCCAGAATTTCACTAGAGGCTGCAAAGTTGTGATGCTTACATCCCATCACCTCTGCATTTCCTCGCCGGGACTCTTCTATAAAGAACTTCTTCCTCACTATCTGGTAACCCTGAAGATCTGTTTGTCCAGGGAAAAATGTAAATGCTATATTTTTTCCCTTTACCAGTTTCTAGAATAGTTAGTTGGTGTCCTAATAACATACAAAGGTTACCAATTAGGTTTTAAAAATTTATTTATTTTGAGTATTGTTATGAACCTGTGAATTTTAACATATTAGATGTTTTCATCCGTTGTAGTCATTCTTTTTGATGATCAGATTATCCTAGCTTTGACCAGGGGGAACCTTAAGTTGGCTCTGAATCTTCTTGACGGGACACAGTAGACTTGGATAGCTCACCTCTACCTGCAGGTGGCCATGTCTCCAAGACGCCTGGCTCCTTTAAGAGGGAAATGGTAATAGGAAGCCAGAGTGTGGGTACTGGGGGTGCTCACTGCTACGAGATATTAGTCATTGCTTCCAGTGACAGAGCAATTGATTTTCTTAAAAAAATGAAAATTCCTCCCGAGGCTATATTGATATTTCCAACTCAAACTTAGGATTATAGGGTTTTTCCTTATTTGATTTTATATATGTATTTTACACAGGACAGATCTTGCTTCCTAACGGTATTAGCATGTGTGTGTATCCGAAAGGCAGGCGGCAGTGTTGGTAGGAGCCCTGTGCTGGCTGCGGATGCGCTTGGAGACCGGCTCCGGGCCACCTGCCCTGGCGGGCGCCACCGCGGGAGCGGCACGCCCGCCTCAGGCACTTCCACGGACCCTTGTCCTGGTGATGGCGCCGATTACTTCATAGCATTTAGGCTCATTTGTTTCCATTTATTTTTATTTGTAGGAATTGCTTTAGCTTGTACATTTTGATTTAATTTAGACTTAGAATTAGTTAAAATGTTTTTATGTGATTCCATAGGAAAAGCTGCCAAACAGAGCAAGTCCATTCAGAGACACCTGACTTCCATCCTGATTCCCCTGCCTGTCTCTCTCTCCCCTGTAGATTTTTTTAGAGGTGCCTAATAAACCATTTTGAATAGGTTTAGGTTTATTCTTACCTTTAAAAAATACACACACATAACTCTAAGCAAACACACATATGTCCTTGTGTTCTGCCCCCTCTGGTTCCTCTCACATACAAGCTGGCTACCGTGCCTGCTGCTCTGTCCGCTACTTTCCTACTGTGCAGGCTGTCCTGGAGGTCAGGCCCTAGCAGTCCAGGGAAAGTCTCATCACTCCTTTTTTCTGGCTGCATAGTACTCCATAGTTTATCAATAGACATTTGGGTTATCTATGCTTTTTTGCCATTTTAAAATTGTTGCAACAAATAACCTTGCATCATTTCTATCTGTATCAATTTATTTGGGGCGTGCATTTCCACAAAGGCTAAATGTACTTACAATTTTTTTATGATATTCCAAGTTTTCATCATTGGGTTTTCAAGACATTCTACAATTTGGGCTTGTATTTCTTCCTTGAGCCAAGCATTTTTAAAAGAGCAAATACCCACTTTTAAGTGTTGAACGGTGTGATAGAATTAAATATAGTTTTCAAAGAAGGCAAAATGATCACCCTGTTTCCACTCTCCTAACATCGGTTTTGTTTGTTTGTTTGTTTGTTTGTTTTTTTATCCTCACCCGAGGACACCTTTCCATTCCTTGCACAGATAGAGCAGGAGGGGGAGAGGAAGAGAGAGAGAGAGAGAAACATCGACGTGGAAGGGACACATCGAGTGGCTGCCACCCGCACGACCAACCAGAGCCGGGGACAAACTGCAACCAAGGCACACGCCCTCAGCAGGAACCGAACCCGGGTCTCTCCGGACCGCAGGCCGACGCTCCAACCGCTGAGCCACACCGGCCAGGGCCTAACATCGGTTTTTGATTAGCTCTACACCTTCTTTGCTAGGTTCTTACGTTTCCCCGCAGGTCTGACTGGAATGGGATGGTTTCTTTCATCCATTCATTTCTTCAGACAGGTTCTGAGTGCGCATGCAGAGCTGGGCACGGGGCTGCGTGCTGGGGATAGCGAGACGGGCAGGGCAGATTTCTACACCAGAGCTTATCTTCATGTTCTAGACACTGCACTTTATAATCTTTATCTTTCTGATTTTGTTGAACGTGTAGGTTTCTCTCCGCATTTTTGTACCGTGAATGCAGCAACTGTCGTGAAAGGTGCAGCTTCCTTCTTCTGTTGGCTGCAGTCCTGAAAATGACATTACACTGGGTCAGGGGATTTGCCCTTTGCTTGAGCTTTGTCACATGTCATTGCCATATATTGGACTCCAGGACGGTAGAGGCAGGAGCTGTGGTTTGGCCCCAGGCTAATGCCGCCCAGCCTGTGTTTGCTGAAGGGTGGTGTCCATAGCCAGGGGCAGCCTGCCTGCCTGTCAGCTGTGCTCGTCTGCGTGGCATCAGCTGCCCCACCGCCCGTGCCACGGGCACTCTCTCCTCTGTTGTCTCTGCCTGTCCTCTAGGTCCCAGAGATGGACTCCCTCTCTCCATGGCTTGCCCTCCTTCCTTCTCTCCGCCATCCTCGAGCCTCCCCTCACTGGAGGCCTCCCCCGTTGCCCTTCCTTCCTCTTCTTCCAGCTGCCCTCTCTGCCCCCCATCCTTTCAGGCCCGTGGCCACTGTCACCCTCCATTTTTGTCCCTTCGACAGCACTTCTGCCGCCTGGCTGTGTCATCTTACAGAAAAGTGTGTGTGTGTGTGTGCACATGTGTGTATTGCGTGAGCTTGTGTGCTGTGTATGTGGGTGTGTGCACATGTGCTTGTGTGCGTGTGTATGCATGTGTACTCATGTGCATGTGTGTATGTGTGTGCTCATGTGAGCATGTGTATGTGTGCATGCTCGTCTGTATGAGTGGAGATCTGGGACATGAGTCGCGAGAGGAAAGTATGGGGTGTTGTTCGGGTACTGATGGGACCTGACCTGATGGGTGTCAGGGGAAGGGATGTGGCCTGAGAGCATCGAGTGGCAGGAGTCCGTCGGGCAGAGGGAGCGCGTGTCCTCAGGTCCCGGGAAGGACGTGTGACCGGAGGTCCCGGAGCCACAGTGGAGGGAGGCAGGGCCGGCCAAGCTCGCTGGGGGAGCTGGTCTCCATCCTGCTCATGTGTGTTCCACCCATGCCTCTTCCTCTTCTAGGTTAGAAAGTCCAGTCAGGAAGTGCTCCTGATTCTCCTGGAGCAAGATCTAATTTTCCAGCACGATGTGGAAAACAAAGTGTGTCCGATCCTGCTGGCACTCTCGGCCCCAGACAGTGACGACGAATACAAAGCGGAAGCCGTGAACGTGAGTCTGTCTGGGGAGCGGCAGCCCCGTGCCTGTGGGCTGTCCCATGGCTGGGCGTGTGCGTGACTTGAGGTGTCGCATGTGTTCACTGCTGGCCAGGCGTGTTCTCACAAACAAGGTTGCTGGGGGTTCGGCCTCGCTCTGAGCAAGTGTATGGTTCAGAGGTGAGCTTGTGAAAGTGACTGTCCTTATGTCACTAAGTGCTTTAAGAAGACAAAGCGCAGGACGTCAGTGATTGGGCAGTTGAGGCAGCTGGCTTCGACTTCTGCTGGGCGAGATGGTGAGATTTGTAGATGAATTCATGCACCTGCTCAGATCATGGACCTAGTTTCCCAAAGTAAGGAACCTGGTATGGTATGGGGGATGGTTTTAGGTGGTACCAGGGCAGTTAAAATCTAGTGGACGTGTGTGTCTGTTTTATTGATTAGGACAAGACTAAAGTAGGCATGCCAGCAGATAAGAAAGAGGCACTCTGAGGAGTGCAGATGTGCCCAGATGGTAAAGCCGGTTGGGAAATGCTGTGTCACAGTATTTGTGCTGCTATCAGTTGAAGGTGAACAATTAAAGTAAGCATCTAAATACCAAATTTCTTCTGCGTTTAGCAGTTAGTTTTGTGGTGTCCTTGGATCTGTAAGATTCTGCACACATTGTGGAGTGACTGTCAGTTAGGGCCTCCACTCGCTTCTGGGACCCGAGCTCACACACTGCTGACCAGGGGTCAGTGCTGGTGGTCACCCATTGCCCCGAGACCAGGCCTCCCCGGCCTGTGCTCGTGCCTGCTCCTTGTGGTCCATAAGGTCCCCCAGGGCCATCTTCTTTTCTTAGCTGCTGCACCTACTGCTGGCCGCTGACCCCTGCAGGAGGCGCTGCCCAGCACGGCCTTTCTGTTTTGCCCTAGAAGTAAACAGCTCCAGCATTTTAGGGAACACCCTACCTACGATGTAAACATGAGCCTCGGTCATGAGGACATGAGAGAGAGAAGATAGCTGTTTTCTTGGTTGGGAAAGAATGACGTTTGAGAAAGGAATTCTTTTCTTTTTCAAAGTGTAGAAAGATTACCCACCATGGAGCCAAAAAACTGTCTGACAGCATCAGAACATCTGGCAGTTACTCTTCATTTATGTGCAGTTTTCTTGCACGATGAGTTAGAGGTCTGGCTTTTTAAACTAACTTAATATTTTGCTTATGCCATATGTTTATAAGATGAATCAGGCCGAAGAATAATTGATTATTAAAATTCAAATTCTCCAGGGTTCGCTTATAAATTTCAAGTTTCTCTCTAAGAAATTAAATTTGTTGTGTGAAACGAACCTGGATAATATCATCTAGATGGTGTATTTGGCAGTTGAGCAGTGAACTTGGCCAACTTGATCTTCTTTTTTGTTTAAAAGTTGGTTAGGCGAGTTTCCAAGGTTACAACTGACAACCAAATATCTTATCCCTAAAGACTGATAATACCATGAAAAATAACGCTGCAGGCATTTTTGCATGAGTTTTATTTTGTTTTGTTTCCAACCCCGTTATTCTTGTCAGCAATATTGTTCTGCTTTTTTGTGTGTGGTGAAAATATTTGGAAACTATAACATGCCTTCAAAAAGCTATCTCCACAAATCACTTGCAGAACAAATTAGTTCACATAAATTGTATCTTTCATTCCGACGGAGTTGCTGACATCATTGCTGGATGTCTGACCGTTCAGCTGTGGCTGCGGAGAACACAGGCGGCTCGAACCGCGCCGGCCAGCACAGCTGGGCCCGCAGTCCCTGGGGGGCTGCACCCGCTCCCGTGCCGCCCTGATGGCCCGGCCCGGCCTGGTCTGCCCATGCCTGCTTTGCTCGCACTCAGAAGCTGTACCGTGTCCCTCTCCCGGAGCCCGAAGGCCCAGGGGTCTGGAGGGGACTCACTCCTTGGCACCCAGAGTCGCGGAGCACATTTGGGCACTGTTTCTTTTTAGCTAGGAAAGGCCACTGTTGAAAACAAAGTGTGTTCAGTCTTTGGACATTTGGGTAGAGAGGAGATTTCATTCTTCAAGTAAAAGGGGCCACGTGTGGTTCGCAGAGCCCCAAGGAGGGCAGAATTCTCATTCAGCTGGGCTGTGACCAAACCCAGACACTGTGGCACTGACGGGACTTGTGAGGAGGGGCCTGTGTGAGAGCAGTGGGTGGGGCTGCTCCAATGCCGTGCTTGGGGGCTCTCTTTGCGCATTATGTCCAGTGACTTTGTGGGTGACTGTCACTGCGCCTGCGTGTAATAAACACACTCTCAGGACGGTGCCGTGTCAGGGAGTTTCTCGCTCCCAGGGGACACGGGGCCTCCATAGACAGGACGTGCGCCTGCTGTTAGACTTCATTCTCGTTGGAAGCTGTCGTCAGTGGATTCTGATGCCAGCAACCCCAGTGCACACGTGGTAGGGAAGTCAGAGCAAGCCGGCCAGACACGGCCTGGGCACTCAAGCTGTTACGCACAAATCCCACACGGGTCCTTACGTCCTGGCCTCTCGCACGTGCGTGCCTTTGGTCTCGTGAAATCTCCTAGCTACCCCAGGTCGCGGCAGTGACGCCCTCCTCCTTGTGTCCACGAGGCCTGGTTCGGTGTCTCCTCACAGCTGACAACTGAGCTGTGAACTCCGTGTGTTTGTTGATTCCCCTTCCAAACGGTGAGCTTCGCGAACACAGGTGTCTTTCCACCAGCCACGCCCAGCACAGTGCCGGGCCCAGAGTCAGTACTAGGCAAGGTTTTTAATGACGGGATCGGTAAAGATTGGAAGCGCTGGGTCCTGTAATTACAGTTAGCATCAGCAGGCCACCGGAGACCAATTAGAACTCCTCGTGCTTGCAAGAAGGCCATTAGCATTCTGAGATTATAACTAATTGTCAGAAGCCTATTTTTCTCTCCTAACATGTTTTTACATTAAGGCTTCCTCATTTTTTTGTCGTCATTCCTATTTTTAAGCTCATTTTTACTTGTGCATTTACTTAAAAAGAATGTGTGGTTGTGGGCCGTGCGGGATCGTGGGCTCCCAGCAGCTGGGTGGAGACTGTCGTCCGCACCAGTGGTCCCTGGGCCTCAGGCGGCACCGCTCTCCCTGGCTCTGCTGACTCGGTGATTCAGGGCTGGATTACACAGGCAGTGGTGAGGCATGGGGCGTGGTGGGGGACATGGGTGGGGAGAGATGCTGGGCACTTCCATTGCCTGTTACCCCGGATACAGGAGCCTGGCGTCAGATCAGAGACACGTGTCCTCTGAGTCGGGAGGACGTCTATACCTATTCGTGTTGGGGGCCAGTGTCCCCTTCCTCAGCTCCCCCCTCTGCTGTGTGCAGACTCCAAAGCCATTGGCCGTGGGCGGGCTGCTAAGCCAGCACCCGTCTGCTGCAGGGCGGCAGCGGGAGGCCACAGGAGGCCTCTGCCCTGCCCCTCCCGCCTCCCCTCTCCGCTCTTCTCACTGGCCAGTGGAGGATTTCTTGGGAGTGGCGCTAATTTTCATTTCGTTTTAATTTCAAACTTGTAGAAAAGTTGCAGGAATGAATTCCTGCACATTCTCTGTCCAGCTTCTCCATGTTTATGTTCAGCGCTATTGATTTTATTGTGTCCACTCTCTCCTTACACACGTGTACATGTGCACCCACAGTACACACACCTGTGAGACATATATACACAGGTGCATATATCTTTCTGAGCCATTTCAGAGTACATTGGAGACATCGTGCCCCTTTATTCCTAAACACTTCATTCATACTCCTTAAAAACGAGGGGATTCTCTCTTAAATTTTTAAAAATGTTTTTATTGATGTTTAGAAAAAGAGGAAGGGAGGGAGAGATAGAAACATCAATGTGAGAAACATCGATTGGCTGCCTCCTGCACACCCCCCACTGGGGATCGAGCCCAAAACCTGAACTTGTGCCCCAATGGAGAATCGAACCAGGACCTCTTAGTCCATGGGACGATGCTCAGTCCACTGAGCCACACTGGCTGGGCAAGGGGATTCTCTCTTAAACAACCCTAGTACAGTGATCCAAATCAGGACAGTTCACTTTCAGATGTCATTTGTCCAGGAACACACATTGCACTGAACTGTCACATGTTTTTGGTCTCCTTTAGTCTGGAACCGATCTTGAGACTGTCTTTGAATTTTGTGACTTTAACATGTCGGAAGAGTCCAGGCCAGTTCTCTGGTAGTCTGTCTCCCAATTTGAGTTTGTCTGCTGTTTCCTCATAAGCAGATTCAGGCTCTGCATATCACGGAAGTGATATTGTGTTCTCATGTGTCAGTCATGTCAGGAGCCAAGACTTCAGTTTGTCCTGATATTGGTGATGGTAACTCTGGTGACTTAGTACACAGAGATGGTGTCTGTCAAGTTTCTCCAGTGGACTGCTTTCCACCCGAGAAATAATGAGAGTTACTTTGAAACTGTGTAAGTATGAATTTCATTAACTCTCACCTCCTAGTATTAGTACCCAGCGATGGTTCTAGTTGACATTCTACTGTGAAGAGTGTTCCCTTCTCCATTATTTGCTAATGTTTTGTTGAGGATTTTCACATCTATATTCAAGAGGACTATTGTAGGCAATTTTCTTTCCTATTATGTTTTTGTCAGGTTTTAGAATCAGGGTTATTGTGGCCTCAAAAATTGAGTTGGGATGTATTCCCTGTTCTTTTATTTTCTGAAAGATATTGTTTAGGATTGGTGTTATTTTCCCCTTAAATATTTGTTAGAATTCATGGGTAAAATCTCTGGTCCTAGGGTTTTCTTTGTGAGGTGGTTTTGATAATAGATTCAGTTCTGTATGTGGAGCTATTGAGGTTTGTTATTTCATCTGTGTCATTGGGTAAGTTGTGTATCTTAGGGAGTATAATTTTAGTAAGTTGTTAAATTTATTGGGATAAAGTTGTTTACAATATTTTCCTATCTTTCTAATGCCTGTAAGATCTGTAGTGTTATTCCTTTCATTTATGATATTGGTAATTTGTATTTTTTTTTCTTAATATTTTTTCTTTCTTGATCAGTCTTGCTAGGGATGTATTCATTTTATTAATATTTTTAAAGAACCAAATTTTTTGGCTTTGTCAGTTTCTTTGTTGCTTATTTTCTCTTCAGTTGATTTCTACTGTTTATTATTTCCTTCCTTCTAATTACTTGAGTTCAATTTGCCTGCATTTTTCTAGCTTCTTAAGGAGGATACAGTAATTTTAAGCCTACCTTTTCCATTTTAAGCATTCAAAGCTACACATTTAATGCTTATATTTTTGTTGTATATTGATCCTTTAATTAAGACATGACTTTTAAAAAATGTCTAATAGCCCAGCCGGTGTGGCTCCGTGGTTGAGCATCAACGCATGCTCCAGAAGGTCGCTGGTTCGATTCCGGATCAGGGCACATAACCAGGTTGTAGGCCCGATCCCCAGTGAGGGGCATGCGGGAGGCGGCCAATCGATGTTTCTCTCTCTCTCTCTCCCTTCCTTTCTCTCTAAAATCAATAAAGAAAAAGTATAAAAATAAAAAATGTCTGATAGTAATCTGTATCTTGTAGTCTACTGTGACATAACTGTCACCACTCCAGAATTTTCACATTTACTGTTTGTAATTTTTTGCTCCCAACCTTAAATGTTCTACAATTAAAGTGTTTCTGCTTTTGTTAGCATATAGTTGGGTCTTGCTTTTATATCCAGTCTGACAGTTTCTGCCTTTTAATGGAGTGTTTAGTCCATTTATGTTTAATGTAATTATTGATTATATTTGGATTTAATTCTGCCAATTTGTTATTTGTTCTCCGTTTGTCTCATCTGCTTTAGCTCCTCTGTGAATTCTTTTCTCCCTTCTTTTGGGGTAATTGAGTATTTTTGTAGTACTGTGCTTTTAATTCCTCTATTGAGGATTTTCAAAAAAATATAGCGCCTTGTAATAATGTAGTTCCACTCACTCCCTTTCTTCCTTTGTGCTATTTTTTCCATATGCTTTATTATATATATATTATATTATAAACCTGATATCATGGCATTATAATTTCTGATTTAAACAATTATATCTTTTGAAGAAATTACAAAAAGAAAAAAAATGTATAGCCTTTTATACTTACATTTTTACCATTTTTGGTGCTCTTTCTTCCTTTCCTGGATCTGAGTTTTGATCTGGTATCATTTCCCTTTAGCCTAAAGAACTTCCGTGAGTCCTTTTTGTAGTTTGGTTGGCTGATGATAAAGTCTCTTTGTTTTTATCTGAAAATGTCTTTATTTTGCTTTCATTTTTGGATGATAGTTGTATTGGATGTGGAATTGTGAGTTGACAGGTTTGTTTTTGTTTTTCCTTGCAGTACTTTAAAGATACCTATTGTCCTCTTGAAAAGTCAGCTTTCACGCTGTGTTCCTGCACATAAAGTGCCCTTTTCTCCGGCTGCTCCTGAGCTTTTCCTTCATCTTTGCAGAGTGCAGGCTTGTCCTGCTTGGTGTTGACCGAACTGCTTAGGTTTGCGTGTTGATCCCTTCGCCTAATTTGGGAAGTTTTTGGCTGTTGTTTCTTTAAGTACATTTTTCTTGTGACTTTTTCTCTTTCTCCTTTCAGTCTGGGGCTTAGATTACACAAAGTTGGGATGCTCGGTATTATCCTACAGCTCTTTGTGGTTCTCTTTTTCTCTTCATCGTTTTTCTCTCTGATGTTCAGATTTCATCATTTTTATCAACCCACCTTTAAGTTCAGTGACTCTTTTTTTCATCTGCAGGCTGCTGTTAGGCCCATCTATTAAATTTTTTATTTCAGTAATTGTGATTTCCAGCTCTAGAATTTCCATTTTGACATTTTTTATAGATTTTAATTCTCTGTGATGTAGAGATTCCCTGTATGTTCTGTTTATGCATGTGTGTTTCTTTTAAGCTTTGAACATATTTATTTTTAATTAATTAATTAATTTACTTATTTATTTATTTTTATCCTCACTTGAGGACATTTTTCCATTTTTTGTTCAGATAGAGTGGGAGGGAGAGAAAGGAAGAGAGAGAGAGAGAGAAACATCGATGTGAAAGGGACACATCGAGTGGCTGCCACCCGCACAACCCAACCAGGGCCGGGGACAAACTGCAACCGAGGTACGTGCCCTTAGTGGGAACCGGACCAGAGTCTCTCTGGACCGCAGGCCGACACTCTAACCACTGAGCCAAACTGGCCAGGGTTGAACATATTTATAATAGCTCCTTTAAAATCCTTGCCTGGTAGTTGTGACGTTTGGATTATCTTGGTGTTGATTCCCATCAACTGTTTTAAGAAAATTATGGATCATTTTTGTTGTGAGTACATAGGTAATTCTTTTTAATTGAACACTAAACATTATCAATGATACACTGCAGAGACTCTGGATTTTGTTTTATTTTTCTAAGATTTTTTGGTTTGTTTGTTTGTTTTATGTAGCAGGCAGTTATCTTGTCTGATCTCCAACTCCCAGCTGTTCTGAGCAGCACAAAACTCTCTGCTCAGTTTGTTTCGTTTCCAGCTGCAGCATTCCTGTTGGTCCCCTGGGAGCTCCCCTCACGTGTGCAGTTCAGCAGTCAGCCACAGGGCTCATTTGCATGTCTCTCCCATTGCAGTTCATCTTTTACGGAATAGCCTCCCCTCCATTTTCTGCCTTTTGGTTGTTCTCCAATGGTTGTCCCACCCCACTCCCCGAAAGATTCTGTAATTGTTATCTGCGGGAGTTGTAAGTCTGACCAAGCTACTGTGTTCTTACCAAAAGTCTTGATTCTTTTTTATAGTTTTCACTTCTTTGATGAGATATCCTATCTGTTCATTCATTATGGCCCTATTTTCGTTTTAGTCCTTGTGCATATTTACAATAGCTGTTTTAAAGTCCTTTCAAAGTCAGCTATTTCTAACATCAGGGTCTTTATTGAGTTTGTTTCTACTGACTGATATTTATCTTGAATATGGGTTACATTTTCCCGTTCCTTCTCATGTCTATGAATTTTTTTATTGCCTATATTATCTTCTTGATGAAACATTGTAGAAACTCTGGATTCTGTTAGTTTCCTCTTAACAATGTTGACTTTGTTCTAGCAAATAGTTCATATTCTGCTTCCCCTGCAGTAGTCAGCAGCTGAAACCATTCAGTTCCTTTTGCATTCAAGCTATTGCTTTTCTCTATGAACCTCTCCCCTGTGCATGCATGGATTAGGGTAGGATTTAATCACAGATTTGGGTGTGGTCTTCCTTTCTTAGCTCCCTCATTCCTTCCTTCCCAGGATATCTACCCTCACTTGCCAGCTGATTTGGTAACCTCAGTCTCTGTTCTCTGACTACTTAAGCCAGCAATACTGGAGCTTTTGCTTGAGGTCCAGCTACTCTGCATAGCCACGCAGAATGGGGATGCCCCGGGCGAAAGCAACAAGCACTGCACGTTTTACCCAGTATGGTTCCTTCTCTCAAGGGTCGGCTCTCCTTCAGTTTCCACCAGCAGCTGACCACTCTCTGGTGCCCACGGGTCACTTTTACACTGTGTTCAGCTGCTGCTGCGTGTCCCACCTCACCACTGTTTGGGTTTGGTCATGGAACTTAACCTCTTTGAGTGTTAGTTTCCTCCTCTGGGAAGATGAGAATATGTAATGCGTGTCATAGGGTTTGGGGAGGTAAAACGAGTTACTGCACATACATTGCTCATTTATGTATTGAGCACCGTGGGTCTCTCCAGTGCTAACCCTTGAGCTTCAGATAAATCCTTGGCTGAGTAAAACGTGAGAGATAGTTGGCCTTTCATCGATCATAGAACGTGGCAAAACTCAAAAGAAGGTATTGTTTGTTTTTACTTCCTGGGTACCCTGACGGTATTTTAACTGTTAGCTTTTGGAATCTAGGTGGTGACATGCACGACACGCAAGCTTTGGCATCTCGAGTGACTGCTTTTCTTTCTAGATCATCTGCAAACTGGCGTCGGTGCTGAGCCGGAGCACCGTGGAGCGCCTGCTGCTGCCCCGGTTCTGCGAGCTGTGTGGTGACGGGAAGCTCTTCCAGGTTCGGAAGGTGGGCATGTCCAGTTTCACACTCGGGAAGTTCACAGCATTGAGACATGCAGAATGATTTCTATAAAGTTTCTGGACTTCCTCAGCAGACAGTCTGGAAGAAAATGTGGCCGGTGTGAACTGTAAGGAAAACATGTGCACAGTGTTGCCAGTTCTGACTGCACTTAGGGAGCGCACAGCGCCCTGGAGATGAGACTCTCTGAGCGTACGCCTGCTGTCCTCAGGCACAGGACGGCGGGCCTCCTGGCTGTGACTGGGCGCCCTGGCCGGGCGAGCAAGGCCTTTCGTTGTCGGGTGGTTTGCCGTACCTTCCAACTCCTGTCCTGCCCCGCCAGCTTCCCTGTTCGTGGCTTGTCACTTGGTTGTCAAATTCTTCCTTTTGAAGGCCAGTGCTCCCCCTCCCTGAACACCTCATCTTCCCTCTGGTCTCCTCATGACTCATCAGCAAGAAGATGGGTCTCATCCACCATGCGGAGAATGTGAAGGGGCTCTTTTGCTCTCTCCTAACCAAATGCATTATGTATTGAGATCAATTAGGAGCCAGAAAGTGCTAGAATTTGGTGCTCTATTGTAAATCTTCAGCTTCCCGTGCACCGGAGGCACCGGCGGTGCTGTGTGGGCGATGGCTTAGCGAGGGCTTGTTAGCTGCCTCGCTAGAGGAGGCATTGCTCTCTAGCCCCGCTTGTTAGTCTGCACAATTTGTTAAGACAAAAAAAAGATGAGAATAATGGGTCTGCCTTTTGCCTCTTTAAGGTATGTGCTACACATTTTGGTGATATTTGTCACGCCGTTGGACAAGAAGCCACTGAGAAATTTTTGGTACGTGAAGTTTCGCCAATTATAACCGCTGCCGCCCTAGGTAGGGCACTTGCAAAGCCGACGTGGCGTGTCGCGTCTCTGAGTGTGTTTTTCTGGAACGGCCGCTCCATTGTGCGCTGGGCAGTTTCAAGTTTCTGGACCCCTGAAGCTAACGTTTTCCTGAGCACGAGGAGCGGGTCTGGGGAACAGAGCGGAAGCGACCCTCGCCCCTCTTCCCGTGACCATGCAGTCGCCTCCTTGCTGGTCACGCCTGGTCTTTTCTGTCCCTCCCCCTGCCCTCTCCAACACGCTGCTCGCCACCTCGCTCCTGGTCTCAGGACCTGGGCTGCCGCTTGCTTCCCAGGGACCAGCCGGCCCTCTCGGCCTTTCAGGCCCCTCCCAAGTCTTTCCTGCCTCACCTCCAGTCACGTCCCTCGGGCCTGAACGTGCCCTGGCCGGGTGCGGCCCCTTCTGCTGCATCCGAGTCCTGGGGGGGGCGGCGGGGGAGGCCCAGGGACATCTGTGATAAATTCCCTCACGATTCTGAGGCACGGGTAGAGCGCATTTCACCAGGCAGCGGTGACTCTTGCTGCGACTGCCCCTCTTCCAGCACCGGCCTCCCTGGGAGACCCTCCTCCCCTTAGACCCCGCTGGAAAATGCCTCCGGAGGTCACTGCTCCCTTTCACCCCGGGACAGGTTGTCCAGAGGGCGTGTGTCCCTCGCCACCCCTTCCAGTCTGGCTGGTGTGGGAGCTTCGCACCATCGCGTTCGCCTTTCTTGCTGCCCAGGCCTGGCCCTGGGGAACGACCCCGGCACGGGCGCAGCGCAGGGCAGCTTCCTGGGGTGGGCACTAAGTCAGAGTGGAGTCGCGACAGTGATTTTTAAATTTAAGTTTGGAAGCTCATTTTATTTCGGTTAAAACATAAGCCATGTTGCCCTGGCTGGTGTGGCTCAGTTGATTGGGCGTCTTCCCATGCACCGAAAGGTCACCGGTTCAGTTCCTGGTCAGCGCACATGCCAGGTTGCAGATTCATTCCCCAGTCGGGGTACATATGTGAGGCCGTCAATCGGTGTTTCTCTCTCTCTCTCTCCCCCCCCTCTCTCCCCCTTTCCCCTCTTTCTCTCTCTCTCTCTAAGATCAATAAAAACATTAAAAAAATTTTTTTAAAATAGAGTATAAACCATGTCAACATGGTTCTAACCCCAAAATACGCCTTCCTGGCTGCCGATGGGAGCGCACAGGGAGTGTCGCTGTCCACCTGCTGTCGCTGCGCGGAGACCAGCCATGACCAGTGCAGTCCTCTCCCCAGGCGGCTCCTCTGGGCTCGCACACTCCCGTTTGGCAGCTTTTCGGCTGAGTATTTCATGTTAGGGTATTAGAAACAAAGGCTTTTTTAAAATAAAGGAAACCTTTAAAAGAGGATAAAATCGTGACCTACAGATATAAAATGAAGAAGCGTCAGTGGTTTTATTTAGCTCACGTGTTGATGAGGAGCCAGTAAGACACGACACGTGGTTCAGCGGAGCAGTCCAAGTGCTACCCGAGGTCGGACCCAGGAACCCAAAGCGACTGTGCAGATGGAGTCAAAGCCGCTCGTCTGCAGGGCCTTGGTGTCTGCATCTCTGTGGGCAGGGACCCTTGCTCGCCGCCCGTGTCCAGCAGTCTGCCCTCTGTCACTGCACCACCCCGAAGCCCACGGAGCCCGGCGGGCGGGCCTGTTGGGCTAGCCGCTAAGTGTCAAGTCATTCCCAGTCTCTCTAATTACATAACGAAGTACCAGTCACTCTGCCTTTTTCCTCTGTCACGCTGTTACATTTCACCAAGTCACATACTGGAATTAAGAGGTGAAGGAAATGTTGTTTTGTTCTGCTTGTCATAATTTCTCTTGGTTTCAAATGATTTCTTTTAGACTATGTACATTTCCTTTTTCTTTGTCAGTAACTTATGGTTCTGCCCTAACGACACCATGAAAACAGGCTCTGCCCTTCCTCAGGGCAGCCAGATTTGAGCAGCACGGTTTTCTTTGCTCTGGTAGGTCCCCAAGTTTTTTGAGCTTTGCTCAGACAGCGTTTGGGGGATGCGCAAGGCCTGTGCGGAGTGCTTCATGGCAGTGTCCTACAACACGTCCCCCGAGGTCCGCAGAGCCCAGCTGTCCCCTCTCTTCATCCAACTGGTCAGCGACCCCTGCCGATGGGTAAGCACAGGCCTCGTCTGGGCGCCTGGACGTGTGACGACGTGTTTTGTCTTTTCAGTCACTGATGGTCACATTTAAGCCTTGGGGGCTGTGGGCACCTAAACCCTCAGAAGCTTCAGTGGTTTGGGAAGTGGCTCCAGCGCCATGTTCACAGTGAACAGTCTCAGGAGGGAAAGACCAGAACCGTGAACTTCTGCCTTTCTATTCCGCTCATAAATGCGCCACCATGATGACGAAGTTCTGTTCCGGTGCTTTAGAAAGTCTGCAATTATTTGATGTGGAATTAGTATTCTGGAAGACTGAAAACTGCCTGATAGTGCTACATTTTCCTTTTTTTCTGTTGCAAATAATTTATTTGGGTGACGCCTGAGCCGGCAGTCAGTCGGCTTGGGTGACGCCTGAGCCGGCAGTCCGTCGGCTTGGGTGACGCCTGAGCCGGCAGTCCGTCGGCTTGGGTGACGCCTGAGCCGGCAGTCAGTCCGGTTGGGTGACGCCTGAGCCGGCAGTCCGTCGGCTTGGGTGACGCCTGAGCCGGCAGTCAGTCGGCTTGGGTGACGCCTGAGCCGGCAGTCAGTCCGCTTGGGTGACGCCTGAGCCGGCAGTCAGTCCGGTTGGGTGACGCCTGAGCCGGCAGTCAGTCGGCTTGGGTGACGCCTGAGCCGGCCGTCAGTCGGCCTGGACAGACTTTGGGGAGTGGTCTGGTGCTCCGTCCCCTGTTCAGCCTCGGCAGACCTGGCCAGTGCCATGTTTACACGCTGTTCTCTCTGGTTTCAGGTGCGCCAGGCTGCCTTCCAGTCCCTGGGGCCCTTCATTTCCACCTTTGCAAACCCCTCCAGGGCTGGCCTCTACATTCGAGAGGACGGCACCCTGAGCATCCGGCCGCCGGCCCAGGGTGCGGAGTCCAGTTTCAGCTGCGGGTCGGCCTGTGCCGGCAGCTGTGTTCTCGCCACCCCAGCCGGGTAAGCTCTGACCCCGCTAATTACCAGGATCCCGCTTCACCTCCAGCGTCCACCTCAAATTCTAGCAATTATCTCGTCTGGAGTTTTAGTAACAGTGACCTTCTGGGCAAGATGGAATATTAGAGCTTTAATTATGTAAAGAAGGAAAAAGTAATTGCAATAATGATTTTGAAACATGACTACTGGGTTATAAATAATGAAGCTACTGTGTCTCCTAAATTTAGATAAAATATTCATTGAGAGTAGTGATTAAATAACCTATAAAGAATTTTTTTTTTGCTTTTTGATTAATGAAGTTCTTTGGATAATGTACATGGGAAAAATGTGAAGTCTCCCAAATGTACTTTTGCACCATGGGATCTGATGTGCCCATAATGTGACACTCCTGACCCACCATCAGTACACCCTACACCATGTTTCTAGTGCATTCTAGTGATTGATCTTGGATTTTTAAAAATATTTTTTCTTGGAGGATGATGGGTGCATGCTCACCAGACCATTCAAGGTCGTTCAGGCCTCTCTCCATTGGTGATATTATACGGGAGTGTAAGAGGAAGTGGTTCGAATCCCTGTCCCAGTCCTTCGTGAGACTGGTCACCTTTCCTCCATCCTCCTCCACCAAGACTCAGGGAGCCCTTGCTGCATGTCAGGCCCAGGGCCACGTCTTCCTGGTGAAGATTCCCAGGTGGTGAACAGCCACCAGCACCGCCCGCCTCAGCCCCTTCATTTCCTCATGCCTGCCCCCTGGTGGAGGTCCGAGCAAGCAGCCAGTGCAGGACATTTCTCTGCTGAGGGGGCCCGCGGACGCCAGGGCTCGGCTCCACTTGCTTCTGGTGGAGGGATGGGACGTGGCATCTCCAGTGCCCATCGTCTCCCAGTGGGCAGGGGCGGTTGGACCTCATCCTCTTGTGAGGCTTTCTTCTGGGTGACAGCAGGTCGGTGGCCAGGTCAGGAGGCCCAGGCTTGTGAGCACGAGGATCCCTTGTTGTCAGACTGCTTCCAGTCTATTACACAGTGCTGAAAGTTTGCCTCCCTCCATCTGACCCAGTTCAACACAGCCGGGACAGACAGAGCCACGCCCGCCCGCGGGAGGCCCGTCAAGGGACACCAGCAGCTCCCTGCACGGCAGGAACTCTGACGGCCAAATGGAAAACCCGATGGGAGACTCCGGGGTGACCAGGGTCTTCTCGAAGCTCCCTGAGAGTAACGACCTCCCCATCAACGGCAGCCCTGGACCCGATTCCCAGGCCTGCCCAGGGAGTCCTGAGGATGTATTTTGTGATTTCCTTTATTGGCGAACTCCTCTCCCTGACATCAGCCAGGACTTGGAGCTGCTTCTGAGTGGGACTGGGCCGCAGGAAGCAGGCTGCTGCCTCCCCGAGACTGTGCGCAGCAGCTGTGTGGCCAGGAGTGAGATTCAGAAAGTCCTCGACAGTTTGCAGGAGCACATGATGGACGACCCGGATGTCCAAGGTCAGTGTTATCCACTAGTGAAAGGCATGTCTGGGTATGCTCGGGCCTGTGTCTTGCTGCGTTTGTGCGTAACCTTACCTTTGGTGACACGGTGCACACCTCTCACCACAGCCAGAGCCTCAGCATCTCCCTGCAGGTGCACGGGGTCCTGCCCCTCGTGTGCAGCTGGGCAGGTCTGACGTCAGCTCTGACGGGAGCGGAGAGGTCTCGGCGTACCTGGTGGTTCTGGGTAGCTCCTGGGCTCTGCTACACCCTTTGCTGAGCTGTGGCGCCTTCTAGCTATGAACAGCCAAGGCCCCTGCTCCTCTTGGAGCGTGCTAACTCACCCTCAGCTCCTCTTGGAGCCTGCTAACTCGCCCCAGCTCCTCTTGGAGCCTGCTAACTCGCCCCAGCTCCTCCTGGAGCCTGCTAACTCGCCCCAGCTCCTCTTGGAGCCTGCTAACTCGCCCCAGCTCCTCTTGGAGCCTGCTAACTCACCCCAGCTCTTCTTGGAGCCTTCTAACTCACTCCAGCTCCTCTTGGAGCCTGCTAACTCACCCCAGCTCCTCTTGGAGCCTGCTAACTTACTCCAGCTCCTCTTGGAGCCTGCTAACTCACCCCAGCTCCTCTTGGAGCCTGCTAACTCACCCCAGCTCCTCTTGGAGCCTGCTAACTCACCCCAGCTCCTCTTGGAGCCTGCTAACTCACCCCAGCTCCTCTTGGAGCCTGCTAACTCACCCTCAGCTGCTCTTGGAGCCTGCTAACTCACCCCAGCTCCTCTTGGAGCCTGCTAACTCACCCCAGCTCCTCCTGGAGCCTGCTAACTCACCCCCAGCTCCTCTTGGAGCCTGCTAACTCACTCCAGCTCCTCCTGGAGCCTGCTAACTCACCCCAGCTCCTCCTGGAGCCTGCTAACTCACCCTCAGCTCCTCTTGGAGCCTGCTAACTCACCCTCAGCTCCTCTTGGAGCCTGCTAACTCACCCCAGCTCCTCTTGGAGCCTGCTAACTCACCCTCAGCTCCTCTTGGAGCCTGCTAACTCACCCCAGCTCCTCTTGGAGCCTGCTAACTCACCCCAGCTCCTCTTGGAGCCTGCTAACTCACCCTCAGCTGCTCTTGGAGCCTGCTAACTCACCCCAGCTCCTCCTGGAGCCTGCTAACTCACCCCAGCTCAACTTGGAGCCTGCTAACTCACCCTCAGCTCAACTGGGGGCTTCTGTCTGTCACAGCAAGGAGAAGTACAGCTTCTTCTTTGGGCATTTTTCATTGCATGACTAGTCCTCCCACTGAGCGTCGGATCAGGGAGCCAGGCCCTGCAATCCATACCCATTATCACGCCTCTTCCTTCTCGAAACAGTGCTATATTTGTGTTCTTTCTCAAGTTTGAGAAATTGGAAAAAAACAACACTTGCTGCTGTTGCCAGGCAAGATTTGTGACGCTTTCTGGAAAGGAAACGTGAAACACAGTTAGCCTGTGGTGATTCTGGGTCTGAAATTGATAAGGAAACTGAGTCAGTGCTTGCTGAAGGGATGAGCGCGTCCCAGATCGCTTCGGATAGCCGTGGACAAAGGTCTGCTTTGGAGAGCGTGTTCCTGACGCTGCGTTCGTCTCCATGCTGGGGCCGGGCCGCATGCGGGGACAGCAGGGACAGACTGAGGCCTCCTGGGCAGGTGGACGGGCTGTGTACCACCAGCCAGCGTGGGCGTGGCCGGGGCTGGGCAGGAGGGAGCTGGTCAATCCTGGGACAGGACGTGTCTGTGAGGAGACCTTGTAGAGCAGGTGACATGTGACGTGGGCTTCAAAGGACGGCTAGGAGCCTACCGTCTGAGGAGGCCGAGGGCGGAGTCTCCCAGGTCCTCCCAGGTCCCTGAGGTCATTTTGTTACCTCTCACATGTCCATGCCTGCTTAATCCCTCTGTAAGGAAGGGCCCATGGCTCCCACCAGCTCGCGGAGGGATCTGTGACCCCCAGAGGTTCAGAATAGGTGACACCTTTGTGAGCAAAGATGTTGCTCAGGCCATCGGGGGTGCCTGGTGGGCTGCGCGGAGGAGGTGGGTCCTTGCTCTGGGCACAGTAGGGAGCCAGCTACATGCTCTCAGCATTTTAACAGCTCTTGAGGCCTGTGGAATGTGACCGATAGAAAACAGAATGCAGGAAGTGTTGTGTGTGCATGCTTAGGGGCTTGGGACACGGAAACATCTGTCTGTGTTTACAGAAGAGTATGTGGGATGTCATCGTGACTGTGAGGAGGGTCACCAGCAGTTATGCTGTGGACAGGAAGTATGAGTGGCCCCAGGTGAGCAGGACCTCCACTGCTCTGTGTGTATGTAGCCGGCTGATGCCTGTGGCACGTGTGCGCGTGCGTGCATGTGTGTGCGTGTGTGTGTGTGCGTGGCGGAGATGGCAGCCACCTGCTCTATAAGCGAGGGAGCCGGACACCCCTCCCCGAGTCAGCAGCGTCCCCAGCATCGGCGCTCAGCAGCACTGTCGTCTTCCTGTGGAAGACCGTGGAGCTGAGCTCTGATTTCCCAGTTGAGGCGTTCCGGGCTCCGATCTGATGCTGTGTGCGTGGCTGGCATTTAGTTGGAGTAGTTAAAGTTAACAGCGGTAAACCTCCCTGCCTGAGCTCCGCCTGGGACCCCAGAGCTCGGTTACTGTGGGAACAGGCGTGGGGAAGGTGAACGCGTGTGTGGTGCGCCCACATCCGCAGAACAGACAGTTACTGAAATTCTCGAAAATTCCCTCCCTGCAGCTCAAGTGCAGGTGCTGTCAGCTGCGCTGAGAGCGACACAGCTGGACTCTGCGAGTGAGCCCGCGCGCCCGCGGGCAGGCGGCCTGAGTGGAGCGTCCCCTCCAGACCCCAGCCCTGCCTCCGGCGGTCCGCCAGTGCCGGCGGCCTCGTCCCCGCAGAGGGAGCCCTCTGTGGCCAGGATAATGCAAACCACCGTAAGTCTCTGGCTCTTCCTCAGCTACCGAGGATGTGACAGAAATCACCAAGCCGCTGTCTTTCATCACTGTGTCCTGGTGGGCATGATAAATGGCAGCTTTAATTTTAGTCTTAAGGTCATGTTTTGGATAACTAGACAACCAATCAATCCAGTGATCGATTACCCTGACTCTCCTCCACAGAGACAAGGTGGGGGCCAGAAGGACCTTCCCTCTTCTCCAAAGATGGCCAGACCTGCTTCCAGGGGGGCGTGGGGGGGGTGACCAGGTACATACTCTGCTCCATTGCCCACCGGCAGGTAGATCTTTGAGGAAGAGTGGGAGGTGAACTCATGCAGCCCTCGAGGTTCAGGGTGACAGAGGCCTGGGAGGTGGTCATGCCTCTGGCCCTCAACGTTAGAGGAGCACTTTCCACACTCGGTCACCCTGCAGAGGTCCCGGCATGCCAACAGCCCCCCGCCCCCGCAGTGGGAACCAGCCCTGGGAGACTGGACTGGCATCCTGGGCGGGCAGGGGCTGTGCCTTGTTTCCTAGCTCCAGTTTCTCCAGAAGCTTCCTGGCTTGCTGCGGTGGGAGGCCCGGTGCCTCCCCAGTGCCCCTGAACTGCACTGGACACCTTGAGCTGGGTCCTTCACGGGGCGGGCACAATGACAGCGCGACAAGGAGGGGCACCTCTCATTGTCCCCAGGCACTCCGTTATAACCTGTCCAGCGTGCAGCTGCCGGCCCCCCTCACCCCTAGGCCTGCCCCGGGGAAGCCAGGCGGGAGACTGCACAGCCTGACACAGACTGTCTGAGTGTGTTAAGGTCACCTTTGATTACTAAGAAACGAGGTGACATCCTGTTTTGCTGGTTAGTTTAGAAAAATAGGCAAGAAAACTCACGCTACCCTGGTTGAAATCAGGCATGTGAGGTGGTGGAGAGGTGTGGCCACGTTTACCACGTGGGCGTGGGACCGTCTTCAGGCCTCCTCACGCATGGGAGTGGATAAAAGAAGAGCCAACCGATTCCTCCACGTCGATCCTTTTGCAAGGAGGGTTTTGAAGGGCTCCTGTCGTCAATCCTTGGTGTGTGATGTGGGTGTCAGCAGGCCCTTGAACTTGCAGCTTGACTCGCAGATCCCAGTGGGAACCTTCAGGATGCTCCCAGTTGCTGAGGAAGGAAAAGGAAGTGACACACTTAGAAAGCTTCAGCCCTGTGGCCCGGGCTCTCTGGACAGGCGGCTGGGGCTGAGGCTGGGGGCTGGGGGCTGGGGGCTGGGGCTCTGGGGCTGAGGCTGGGGCCTGGGGGCTGGGGCTGAGGCTGAGGCCTGGGGGCTGGGGCTGAGACTTGGGGGCTGAGGCTGGGGCTGAGGCTGGGGGCTGGGGCTCTGGGGCTGAGGCTGGGGCCTGGGGGCTGGGGCTGAGACTGGGGGCTGAGGCTGGGGCTGAGGCTGGGGGCTGGGGCTCTGGGGCTGAGGCTGGGGCCTGGAGGCTGGGGCTGAGACTCGGGGGCTGAGGCTGGGGCTGAGGCTGGGGGCTGGGGCCTGGGGGCTGGGGCTGAGACTCGGGGGCTGAGGCTGGGGCTGGGGGCTGGGGCTCTGGGGCTGGGGCTGGGGGCTGGGGCTGAGACTGGGGGCTGAGGCTGGGGCTGAGGCTGGGGGCTGGGGCTCTGGGGCTGGGGCTGGGGGCTGGGGCTGAGACTCGGGGGCTGAGGCTGGGGCTCAGGGGCTGAGGCTGGGGCTGGGGGCTGGGGCTGGGGGCTGGGGCTGAGACTCGGGGGCTGAGGCTGGGGCTCAGGGGCTGAGGCTGGGGCTGGGGGCTGGGGCTGGGGGCTGGGGCTGAGACTCGGGGGCTGAGGCTGGGGCTCAGGGGCTGAGGCTGGGGCTGGGTCTCTGGGGCTGAGGCTGGGGGCTGGGGCTGAGACTCGGGGGCTGAGGCTGGGGCTGGGGCTCTGGGGCTGAGGCTGGGGGCTGGGGCTGAGACTCGGGGGCTGAGGCTGGGGCTGGGGGCTGAGGCTGGGGCTCTGGGGCTGAGGCTGGGGGCTGGGGCTGGGGGCTGGGGCTGAGGCTGGGGGGCTGGGGCTCGGGGGCTGAGGCTGGGGCTGGGGGGCTGGGGCTGGGGCTGGGGCTGGCACACAGCTCCTGACCTCCACCCCGGTCCGCCCATCCACTCTGCTGTTGTGGCTGGCCAGCTCAGTCCCCAAATGCCCAGCGGAGGAGGGGCCCCTTTCTTCTGCCTCGTCTCTTGCCTGCGAGGCGGTTTTCTCGGGATAGGACCTCACAGTGCCTTGGGGGCTGTCTGAACTCGTGGTGGTCACTGAAACCTAGCTCGGCTCCTGGAGTAAGTGCCACTCATACAATTCCAAATGAAGACTTTGGAATAAAATTAGTTCCTGAAAGGAGAAAAATGACTTACTACTTATTCATCTATGTGAGTTAAGTTGCATAAATCGAGGTCTTAGGTTATCATACCAAAATGCTTCTGTTTTATCACACCCTCTATTGAAGCAAGCAGTGCATTTCCCTGGGAGCCTCGCGGGTGCGGGTGCCGGTAGCGGGTGCGGGTGCCGGTAGCGGGTGCGGGTGCCCGTAGCGGGTGCGGGTGCCCGTAGCGTGTGCGGGTGCCGGTAGCGGGTGCGGGTGCCCGTAGCGGGTGCGGGTGCCCGTAGCGGGTGCGGGTGCCCGTTGCGGGCGCGGGTGCCGGTAGCGGGCGCGGGTGCCGGTAGCGGGCGCGGGTGCCCGTAGCGGGCGCGGGTGCGGGTGCCCGTTGCGGGCGCGGGTGCCGGTAGCGGGCGCGGGTGCCGGTAGCGGGCGCGGGTGCCCGTAGCGGGCGCGGGTGCCGGTAGCGGGTGCGGGTGCCGGTAGCGGGTGCGGGTGCCCGTAGCGGGTGCGGGTGCCCGTAGCGGGTGCGGGTGCCCGTAGCGGGTGCGGGTGCCCGTAGCGTGTGCGGGTGCCCATGCCCGTAGCGGGTGCGGATGCCCGTAGTGTGTGCGGGTGCCCGTAGCGGGTGCGGGTGCAGGTGCCCGTAGCGGGTGCGGGTGCCCGTAGCGGGTACGGGTGCAGGTGCCCGTAGCGGGTGCGGGTGCCCGTAGCGGGTGCGGGTGCAGGTGCCCGTAGTGTGTGCGGATGCCCGTAGCGGGTGCGGGTGCCCATAGCGGGTGCGGGTGCCCGTAGTGTGTGCGGGTGCCCGTAGCGGGTGCGGGTGCAGGTGCCCGTAGCGGGTGCGGGTGCAGGTGCCCGTAGTGTGTGCGGGTGCCCGCAGGGGGTGTGGTTGCTGGTAGCGGGTGCGGGTGCCGGTAGCGGGTGCGGGTGCCCGTTGCGGGTGCGGGTGCGGGTGCCCGTAGCGGGTGCGGGTGCGGGTGCTCAGGCCAGCAGAGCGCCTGTCGGTGCGTGAACCGACGCTCCCGGATCATAGATCGGCCTGCTTTGCCAGAACCCATTAAGCTGGTGGACAGTGTGACATTTCAGAGCGAGGAGGAAGTCCGTGCTGTGGTTGCAGGAGAAGGTCGGGTCCGTCTCGGTTCACGTGAATCGATGATGGGAGGCCGATATGTCACGTTGAACGCTCGCTCGTGCACATTTTAATTGTTGAGCTAATGCGAGGGCTCAGCCAGCCGGGAGGTGCTTGCGCTGGGGAAAGCCCGGCGGCTCCCGGGACTGGCTCCTTCCCAGCCGCGCCCCGCCTTCCCCAGCTGAGGCTCCGCCGGCTCGCGGCCCTGCAGCACTGGTCCCAGGCAGTGCCCGCCTGTGGGCTTCCCTCTTCTTGCCGCCTCACCCTGCCCCTGGAGCGGTCCTCTCCTTAAACATGTGCCGTTACGTGAGGCCACGGCTAATCACCTTGGGGACCCTGGGGCTTGAAGGATGGCAAATCCGGACGAAACTTGTTGGTGCTCGCCAGCATTAGCCTGTCTTTTGTAAGGGCCTCGAGCAGTTTTGAAATGAAAATGTATGAAATCTGTTTGCCTCGGCAGTTAAATTCACCATCCTGCCCAATATCATATGTAACTATGCAAATGTATTTTTAACATCTGGCAAGATAGCTTTGACTTACAGGGACACTCTGGTCTGGGCTCGCAGAAGTCAGTCCTGGTTCTTTGGAAGAGGTTCTTTGAAGGGGAGCAGGGGACGGCTTCCTCCTTCAGAGCCGTGACGCCACCCCGTCCCCTTTGCAGAATCCAGGCAGTGGTCCTTGCAGTGGAACCAGCGGCCCCCTGGGGATGGAGCAGAGACCTGACCCCGCCCCACTCGAGGAGAGTAGATCAAAATTACAGGTTTGTTCCTTGAAAAGAGAAGCAACTCAAACTTGACATTTCTCTGGGAGTTAAATTTAAGAGTGGCCCCTGGAAGCTAATATTTTTCTTCCATCAATATTCATGACATATCTTAGTTTCCAATCTGTGGTGCTGATATTTCCTCTGTAACTTAAAAAAATAGTAAACTCCACAGTAGTGTTTAAAGGCTTCTGAATAGAATAATATTTTAATGAAAGCAAATCAACTATAAGAAAATAAATTTGACATCTATACACTAATATTTACTGTCTGATCATTTTGCTTTCTTGGGTGAGAGAAGTTTTGACAGCTTTTTGTTGGGCTGTGTTTGGCTTTGTTCTGTCTTGTGGAGTAGCTTCTTGTGCTGAGTTCCCTTGAATGCTTTGAATTTCTGCACCCATCGCCTCACAGAGGTAAGGGAGAGTGGTACTGTTTCACGAAGGGCTACTCCGTGAGCTGGAAAGAACTAGTAATGACCAAGGGTCGCCAGGCCCTGCGCCTGGGGCAGTCAGAAGCAAAGGAAACAGTCTCTTTTCTCCAGAGCCACGTGCACCGGCGAACCAACCCTGATGTCAGGACTGTCCGCTGTGACGCACAAGTTGGTGCATTTAGAGAAGGTGGCTGTGGGCCCTGCTTTCACTCAGTCCAGCGGGAAGCTCGCAGGACACGCAGTGGCCGGCTCAGGGCGTCAGGAAGGCCTCCTGTTCCTCACACTTCTGCTTCTGTCTTCACCTCCGAGTTCCAAAGTCCTCGCCTCTCGTGAGCCCCTCGTTCTCTCCAGCAAGTGTGATGGGGAGAAATCATTCTCCTGTGCCTTCTCAGAGCCCCACGCAGGGCTTACGTTCTCTCCCACTTCCTAGGATATAATACCGCAGCCCCTGCTGGATGAATATGTGTCGATGACCGACCCAGCTCGAGCCCAGACTGTGGACAACGACATAGCCAAGCACTGTGCCTACAGCCTCCCGGGCGTGGCGCTCACGCTGGGCAGGCAGAACTGGCACTGCCTGAAGGATACGTACGCCACGCTGGCTTCTGACGGGCAGGTGAGGCACACGGGAGCCCAGGTGGGCCATCTGGTGAGGAAGGGGCGGGAGCTGCCGAGGGGTAGGACCTGTGTCCGTGTGTGTGGCTGTGGCGGACACGTCGACGGGCCTCTGAGGAAAGAGTGTTAAGTGGCAGCACCTGGTGGCTGGGGTTTCACCCAGAAACGCCCCGCTCTCGGTAACACGGCTTGTGCTTCCTTTCTGCGCTTCGTGTCTGTTCTGCACCCAGTGGAAGGTCCGGCGGACCCTCGCCTTCTCCATCCACGAGCTGGCTGTGATTCTCGGGGACCAGCTAACGGCTGCTGACCTGGTTCCCATCTTCAACGGATTTTTAAAAGACCTGGATGAAGTACGAATAGGCATTCTTAAGCACCTGTATGATTTCCTAAAGGTAGGAAGAGGGTCACCAAGAAAACCAAACCTCCTCGTCAAAATAGTTTTACACCCTGGACATACAGTGTCAGTGAAAAAATGCGGGTGTCTGGGCTTTTCAGTTGAAACATGCAGTCCACAGTCTTCAGGTGGGTGTTCTTTTGGTGATGGGTGAATGTTTTATGCCTCTCCTCCTAACCCTCTGCCCTTAGAGGGCTGACTTGGTGGAGGGTGGTGGACAGTAGCCCGCGTGCCCGATCCAAAGGAGCCAGGCCGTGGGTGGGGCGGCCGTGCCGGCTCTGAGCCCGGCTGAAGGCCCTCTCACTTCCACGCGGGGCTTTTTCCGCAGACATGGCTTCTTCCCTGCTCGCCTGCTTTGCTTTCCCCTTAGAGGAATGATGGGTGCGAGAGTGAGAGTTTAAAGATGACCCAGAGAATGAATCACTTGCATCCCCGAGCTGAGCTGCCTGTGGAGGACGCGTGCCCGTCCTAGTTAGCTTTCCCGGGGCTCAGAAGCAGGCGAGCAGGGCCGACCCTGGGGAGCAGCGCGGTGCTGCGCGTGGACACACAGACGGGGTCTCGGGGCAGAAGTCCTGCAGGAGGATGAGCGAGGGCACGGGGCACAGAAACGCAGGAGTTCAGGGAGAAGGCTGGAGGCACCCAGGCCGCGCTCGCCGACCACGCTGGGCCGACAGCGGCGGGGAAGGCGCGCTCCTGCCTGTCACACGTGGACTCTGACGTGTGATGAAACCATGTGTGGGTCGTGTTGAGCGATTCTCTATTTTTATTTATATATACATTTTTAAAAAATAGTTGCTTCATGAAGACAAGAGGAGAGAATATCTTTATCAGCTTCAAGAATTTGTAGTGACCGATAACAGCAGGAATTGGAGGTTTCGATATGAACTAGCAGAGTAAGTAAACCTGTGTGGGGCTATGAGAAGGCAAATGAGAATAACTCTTCATTCTCCTACCTTGTAATTGGTTTCTAGGCTAGCAGTGACAGTGTTCTTTGGGATAAAGGGATTATGTTTTTATTAAAGGGTAAACTCAACTCCAAAGCTCTAAGTTACAAATACCTCTGTCTCCGGGGAGACATTCATTTTCCGATGAAGACAGGGCCCGAGTCACTTTGGAATTACAGTGTGCTGCTGTTCTAAAAAGCAATTTATTCGAACCAAATAAAAGATGAATCACCCACTCTTCAATGTGTTCCTGTTAATCGGAGCAGCGTTTCGCAGCGCGCTCTCGAATATTCCGAGTGTGGCCTCTGGGCACAGCGTGGTTTGGGCACCCCAGCTTCTAGAGGATAGGACGCTGCAGTGGGAGCCCCGCAAGGTCCACGCCGAGGAGACGTGATTGAACAAACCACCCCCGGCGCTAGGACCCAACCCCATTCTGTGTGAAAGAGTTATTTAATTTCGTTGTGCCGCGCGGGGAAGGAAGGGCAGAGGTCTCAGCGATGCTAATAGAATGAGAGCATCATTGTAAATGATTCCCCTTCCCGAGGTGCATCATATGATTTCCACAGTAGCGGTGGATCTGTTTGTGGTGGTGGTTTGGGTTTTAGTTTTCACCTTGTCGAGATTTATTTCAGCATCTTTAGTTTTCATTTTTCTTCCTCTCAACTAGAAATCTCTCAAATAATTGTCTTCCCTGTAGAAATCCATCAAGCTTTTGCAGCTATTCAGGATATGATTGGGCTGATGCTGGGGGCAAGCGCAAAGATTTTCTCTTTGCTGTGATCTTTAATCATTATGCTTAATTTGAGCGATTGAGGTTTTAGTCATTATGCCATGTTCCCAGCTATATTCTAAGGGAACAGAGAAAAACAGGCCCGAGTTTTTCATGAAAGCATTGTGCCCTCTAGCGGCAGTGTGCGGAAACTCGGCCAGGTTTGTCTCAGGCCAGACTGACCCGCTTCCGGGGCTGGGGCTGGGGCTGGGGCTGGGGACAGGGTGGGAGGCAGAGAAGGGAACACGGCTGGGGATGAGGACAGGGACGGGCCGACCCGCTCGCTGTGGCGGGGTACCAGGGCCAGGGGCCTGGGACCCGCACAGGACTGGTTTGGTGCGGAGCCGAGGGCTGGCGCCCAGCTCAGCTGGCATTGCCAGACAGCGTTATCGCGGGGCCTGGCCATCTCCCATCTCTGCCGTGTTATTGAAGCAGAGCTACTGCTGATAAGAACTCGGTGCTCCCGTGCCCACGGTCCTGGTATCACTTTTCGGCAAACAGTGCTTTTTGATATGAAAATATTCACAGGCACTCCTGGCTTCTGGTTCTAACTTCCTTCCAATCTCTTTTTCATTTCCTTTCGGTTGCCAGTGTGGAAAAGTGCCATTTATTCCCATGCCCTCCTCCACCCCGTGTAGAAAGCAGTGACAGCCGGGCCGCCGGTTCCCCCCAGCCTCCGAGCCCAGGGCCGCTCCCAGCTGTGCCGCCGCCGGTGCCTGGGGAAGCTGCAGGGCCGGCCAGCCGGCAGCGGCAGAAATGGGATTTGCAGCTTCAGGAGCACTGCGGAGGCAGTGAAACCTCATTCGAGTGTTCCCTTGATCTGCTGATCTTTGGGAACCTCAGCGTTCTGGCTATTTTTATGTTATCTGATTTTCAGAGTTTTATGTGCTTTCGAACTGATAACCTAAAATTGAAATAGTAAAAACCTATTCATAAATTTCTCAGCCTCTGTTTTACCAAGTTTAATTTATGTCCTTTTTATTTGATTTGTTTGTGTGTGTGAGATGAAGAATTAAGATTTTTTTCACGTTTCTTTGCGAGGCCGTTCCACTCAGCTCTGCTTTGGGCATGTCCCTGACCGGAGCCCCCGTGTCTTCTCTGCCCTGTCTCCCAGCCTGGCTGTTTGCTTTTTTCAATCTGTAAGATATGACATGAGAGTAAAGAGAAAGGAATAAGGTTGTGTTTTTTTGCCCCCCAAAACAATTTCTTTTTTTTTTAATTTCAGGCAGCTGATACTGATCTTGGAACTCTATAACCCCAGTGATGTTCACGATTATTTAATGCATCTTGCCTTGAAGTTGTGCGCAGATAAAGTTTCCGAAGTCCGGTGGATCTCCTTCAAGCTAGTAAGGCACCATGGCCTTTTCTGTTCGTGGTTTTTGGAAATAGGAATATTTATGTTTTTTTCATTTTTAACTCCTTTATTTTTTCTGGGCCTAATTTGTCAGTTTACCTATGAAACCAGCGTTTATGTTTGGGGATTGGGAGCTGCATGATAATGTTGTCAGTACAGAGATGCCTTTGGTTCCTCTGTGTGCTTCAGGGATGGAGACTGTGGGGAAATCAGTTTATAAATGAAACCCTTTAAACAGCGGCTTAGTGTTTCTCTTAAACCCGGGTCAGATTTTCTCTACAGCATGATTTTGTAGAAAAGTTGTTAGTGAGTAAAAAGTCCAGCATGGAGAAGCCAGTCTTGTTCGATGTGGGCTTACACCAGCTGAGGACTCGGAGGCAGGGTCTCATTTGAAAATATTATTGGTTTCCTAAGGTATTCTGATGGTATTAAACTTTTATAAAAAAGACATGTTCTCATATGCACAAACAACTGACCCGGACACTAGTCTGAGGAAGGCAGGAGGAGGATGGGTGTGGGAAGGAGGGGCACTGGGGAGAAAAGGGGGACATCTGTAATACTTTCAACAATACAATACAATAAATAAATAAAATTTCTTAGCTAAGACTTTTTTTTTTAAATGACATGTTCTGAAAGGTAATGATTTAGTTTTTATGCAAGGGGACATTTTTCAAATTTGGAATCTTAAGATTAATAATGTATTTTTCCAGTAACAGTCCCTTATTACATTTTATTTTATAAATTTTATTTTAATGAAGGGTTTTATGTGTGTTTGTCTGTGTATTGCCATATATTTAAATATCTGTGTTCTAATGATTGTTGTAACAAACATTAGTTTCTCCCATGCTTCTAAATTTATCGTAAAGGTGGAAGGGTCTATAAAAACGCCTAGTCCCCATGCAAAGCAGCATCCGTGATGCGAGTCGATGGCAGCATTTGAAGTGTGCTCTTCTGATCTCTTCACAGGTCGTGGCGATTCTGCAGAAGTTCTATTCAAGCAGTGAAAGTGCTTTGGGGCTGAACTTCATCAATGAGCTCATCGTGAGGTTCCGGCACTGTTCTAAGTGGGTCGGGAGACAAGCTTTCGCTTTCATTTGCCAGGTGAGTATGATCTGGGGGGTCTACCCCGGGCACACAGTTGCCATATATTGATATCAGGTGCCCCAGATGAAGAACCCAGGCTTGAGTATTGGGAAGAACTTGGGGATCAGTGGACAGTTTTCTCTGTCTGCAGCATCGAGAGCATGCCTGGCACAAGGCGGATGCTCAATCAGTCGATAGGACAAATGCCTGCATGGGCTGGGAGCCAGAGTCCTGCTCCCGTCCTGCGTAGTCATGCGTAGTCCGGCGCTGGGCCTCACTGCCCCCACCTGAGCCAGCTGCCGTGGAGGGAAGGTGGGGGCGGACAGAGCAACAGGTGAGGGCAGAGACTAGTTCGTCTCTTTCGAGTGGAGTCCATGTCAACCTGTCCAGCTCCTCGATCACCCACTGCACTTACCACCTGGGAAGGGAGGGTGCGGTCACGTCCCAGGGGGCTGGGAAGGATGGCTGCTGTTTCTTGAACGCCTCGTATGCCAGGCACCTCACCAGACACTAATCCTCGGTAAAAGATCGGTGTGTTGAGCATGGCATACCCATTTACTTTCAGACAAGTTTTTCGATGAAGTGTTTGAAGCCCAGAGAGGTTAAGTAATTTGCTCAAGATCACACAGGAAGTATAAAGCCATGCTTTTTTTCTACTAACATGTTATCTTAAAAGTGTTAACTTTTTGCCCTGGCTGGTTTGGCTCAGTGGTTAGAGTGTTGGCCTGTGGAACAATGAGTCCCAGGTTTGATCCCAGCCAAGGGCATGTGCCTCGGTTGAAGTTCATCCCCAGCCCTGGTTAGAGTCATGTGGGAGGCAACCAGTCGGTGTGACTCTCGCATTGATGTTTCTCTCTCTCTCTCTCCCTCCCACTCTATCTGAAGATAAATAGAAAAATATCCTCAGGTGAGGATAAAAAAATAAATAAAAGTTTTAACTTTTCTTTAAGTACATTTTAATCGTATACAAAGGTAGAGGGACTAGTATAATGAACCTCATGAACCCATCACCCAGCTTTATCAGCAGTACAGCAAAGCCATGATTGGACTCCTCCTGACCTCAGACCCCAAAGCCCCTTTCTCTCCCTCCTAACCACCTCCATGAAGGACTCACTAGGGCCCCCTGTTGGGCTGGAGGGGCATCGAAGGGGTACTTTGCCGTCCACTTTGAGAAGTGCCAAGTTCATGGGCCACACACCTGGCACCGTGGACTGGTAGAGAGGTTGGTGCTCCAGATCATCTTGTGGAGAAAGGGTAACGAGATATTTTTGCTTTTATTTTTGCGTTCTTTATCTCAGATTTAGAAACTGCATGATGAAACAAAAGGAAAAGATGCCAGCCAGTTTCATTCAAGAACAGTTAATTTTTTATGCTCTTTCATTAATTGAAGATTCAGAAAACCCACAGCAACACCGGCAGAAGGAAAGGGCTCTCTGCCAAGACCGCCCCCGAGGGCCACGTGGTCACACGGTCATCGCTAAACGCTGCCCTCGGGAGCGATCGCTGGCGGAGCTTGGGAGGGCCCCTCAGACCGCCAGCTTGGAAGCCGAGTGGCCTTGGCCCGGCAGCCTCTGCACGGCCTGTTCATCCTTGTGGGGGAGCAGCTGGACAGCCCACGCCCTGGGGTGGTCCTGAGGCTTTAATGAGCTGACGCCCCGAGTCACCTCGCACCGTGCCCGGCACCTGCGGGCACTCGGCACGTGGCAGCTGCCGCGTGCGTTCCCAGCACTGGGAAGGTCTGGGGGAGTCAGGTGTGTAGGGTCTCCACCCCTCGGCTGCTTGTCGGTCCTGAGAGCTCTCTGGGTGGCACCACCACGTTGGGCCTGCCTTTCCTCACCCGGGCAACTAGGCCGAGCCTCCCCGAGGGCTGGCGGTGAGAGACACAGAGCACCTGCGAGCCCTTGGCACGCGGGGCAGCAGTGCCCAGATGCTGCTGGTACGGGAGCGCGTGGTCAGCCCTTCACAGAGGACGGGCACGGAGGGGTCAGGTTTGGCTGTCACCTGACAGGCATGGCCCTGCCCGCAGAGCCTGGGTTCTTCACCCTCACCGGTGGGTGCTTGCCATCCCCACCACCTCTCCATTGTTCGCACGGGAAAACGGAGGCTGGAGGGTGAAGGAAGGCCACGGAGGCCGCGCGTGACCTCGTCGGGCTCTCAGCCTGGGCCCGAGGGACTCAGAGCCTTTGGTTTCCCACCGGCCACTGTGCCACCGGCCCCATGCCTGCTCAGGGCTAGATGTCGCTGTGCTCCCGGCCACTTCCGTGGCTGAGAGATCACGTTCGGTGCACACACGCCCTCGGACCACCAGACCCTGACATCGCTTGTTGGGTCCCGGGTTAGGAGAAGGCTGCATGGCGCGTGGAACACGAGCTCTTTGTCTCTCATCACAGGCAGTGGTGCGTGAGGAGTGCATCCCCGTGGACCAGTTCGTTGAACACTTGCTCCCCAGCCTTCTGAGCCTTGCCTCGGACCCTGTGCCCAACGTCAGGGTGTTGCTGGCCAAAGCTCTGAGGCAGACGCTGTTGGACCGGGGTACGTGCGCCAGCTCTCTGCACGGCCGTCTGCAGCTTCGCCGGCACGGCGCGGCTTCTCCCGGAGTCGTGCCAGTCGGGTGACAGCATGTCGGATTGCCATGCGGATTAACATATTCACGTGCATGTATAGTTTATTCATGAAAGGACGAGGAAATGAGTGTGGTTCAGTTTTCACATTTAATCAACATGCTGAAATGCAAAATATTACACAGTCTTTGAGAAATGAAGGAAACTACAGATTTTGAGTTACGATATGCAGATTATGAAAGGTAGCAAATTTAAGCCTAACTACAATTAGGTTTCAATGGTCTGGTTTTGTAGCCAGTAAGAAAAAACACATTTCCCAAACTGGTCATTATTTTCCCCCGAGCAGGGCTCACTGCCCGGCAGGGGCTCGGCAGTTCACTCCTAATGGCGGGAGGAGAAGGTGGTGCTCACGTTCCAGTCCAGTGCTCCAAGTACGCTGCTTATTCCTGGCAGTACGTCTTTCAGACTTAGGGAATACTCTTGGATTGAAGCGATTTTATCACTCTCAAGGACTTCTGCTTATGATGATTCTTTGAAAAATGACTGACTGTCCTGAGATTTGGTTTAAGAATCCCCAAAGTAGAGGCTGTTTCAGAACACAGTTCATGGCACATGCAGCTCAAACTTGTTTTCTCTCTCTAGCATACTTTAGAAATGTCGGTCACCCTCATCTTGAAATCGTTGAAGAAACCGTCTTAGCTTTGCAGTCAGATCGGGACCAAGATGTCTCCTTTTTTGCCACCCTGGAACCAAAGCGGCAGAATCTTCTAGACACTGCCACGCTGGAGAAGCAGGATTGAGTGCCCCAGTCGCTCAGTCTCCTTCTCCATACTTGGCGCGCATCTCTCACATAACTGGACCTGCCGAGGGAGAAAAGGTTCTGAAACTGACACCATGCAGTCCAATGACCCCTTGCCCACCTGCAGTCCTGGGACTGCACCTGGGTGGGTGCCGGTTCCAGGTGGCCGGGCCCGTGTCGCACTTCTGCACCCCCCCCCCATCCGGAGTCTGGAAGGCCACAGGACGGGCGGCTGGGCTAGCACGAGCAGTAGTTCTCTCTATTTTAGACTATTATTTAAAGTGCCTCCCTTCCAAATAAAGTAGTTTATTAGGAGTTTTTCAGTCTTTAATAGACTTGCACATTTGACTCCCTTATGCCTTCCTATAAAATATAGTTTATGGTATTATATTTTATTTTTAACTGAAATGCTGTACATATGTAAATAACTCTTGACAGGAAGAAAAGATATTAATGTAATATTAGCCTCCTATCAGTGAACAAAACAAATACATCATTTAAATTTATGCTCCACTTTGAGTTGCTGCAAATATAGCCCAATTTGTTTACTTTTGAAAAATGTGATAGTTAAAGAAACCTAGTAAAGAATGATTTATGACAAGCTTTCTAACGTTGTACGTTTGTTATAAACTGTTGGGAACTTTTCCGCATCCCCTCCCCTTCCTGCCGGACTGTAGCCATGAAGCTAGTAGTGGCTTTTGAGAGAGGCAGGAAGCAGAGACTTCATGCTCAGTGGCTGTTTGGAGAACTTGGAGAGAACCGGTCACTGAGATGCGTGGACTGGCCTTTCCGCCCCACTGCTGCAGAGTCAGTCGTGACAGATGGAGCCGCAGCTCCAGGCAGCCCCTGGACGTGCCCACACACCGGTGGTTTGGGGATTAAATTATGATCCTCTTCAGATTGGGCTAAGTGTACAGGACTTAGATTTCGTGCTTTTACAGTTTGGACTAAGGAAGATGCTCTAGGATTTAAACAGGTTTTTTGTTAGTGATTCGAGGTTCTGCAAACATTTGATTAAAGTCTGCATACGTGTGTGCTCATGTTCCTCGTCTCCGTGCGGATATTCTCAGAGATGGTCGTAAAGAAGGGAGGGCTGCCCAGGGTGTCCGAGGGCACAGCAGCTGTGTCCATTTTTCCCTTGGGGCTTTTTCTTGTCTGTCTTTTTTTTCTGTTTTAAATAAGTTCTCTGGAGCCGTATTTTGAATTTCTGGGTGTCTGGGACGCTCTCTCCCCCGCCCCAGTTCTGTGGAGCTGTTTCTGAACCGGGGGAGGCCTCTCTAGCACACCGAAGAGAACAAGGCACGTGTTTGGGAATCTCAAAGTGTGACCGGGGTCGCATTTTGACAACTTCAGCAAAGAGTGGGCTAAGAAATCAGAGGCTACATATTAAGGAAAAAAAAAACCTCAATCCATTTTGTGTTCAGTTCTTGCTACAACAAGTAGGTGGGAGGTAGTGTTTCGCTTCAGTAACGAGTGATTTAAAATTGTTTTTATTGCCTAGAAATTGAGATCGTCATGTTGTGAAAATCTGTTGATCTAGCAGCAGGTAGAATTACTCAACTGGAATCTTGTATTCTGTGCAGAGTGTAATTTTCCATTGAGGAAAAGGATTGGCTTGTGTTTGTGTGGCGACCTGTGGAATTTGCTGCGTCAAAGGCTTGTCACCATTCTAGAGACCCTTTCGATAATCCAGCCTTGACGACGTCAGTTGATATGTTCCAAGTTTTCTGATAGGAATGCCTTTCCCATGCAAAGGTTTTGTTTAGGACTAATTTCTCTGCATAAAGTATGTTTAAAGCTCACATTTTATTCTTTCTTTTTGTAACCACTGAACTGACACTGACGGTCCAGGCTCCCTGTGCGTGCTCTGCTGCTGTTCCTCCCTCACTTCAGCTCTTTGCTATTAACTGTTCACGGGTCCAGGACTGGAGAGTTTGGGATTCGACCTCACGGGGAGCCTCCTATTTACTTGAACGCGGGGCGTCCTCCCTGGTGAACGAACAGAGAAGCACACAGTGGTTTCTGCAGACTGAGCCCCCGGAAAGCTGTCTGAGCGAGTGGACTTGGCCACGTGGCACCTCTCACCCCGAGAACCCCAGAGTGTTTTCAGAATCGATGGGTTTGGATGCAGCTTTGCAAATTTCCATGAAGGTCTGCCTCCCACTTCCGAGTGGCCCGGTGTCGGGTTTATTTTATTTTTACCTTTTTCACGAAATCGGCCCCAGACCTGCCGAAAAGAGCCGTTTCTGCCGTGTTGGTTTTCACTCACGCGGGGATCAGACTGGAGCGTGGCCGTCTGCGTGGCAGGGACCACTAGACCTCAGAGCCCGTTGGGTGGGATCCCCCGGGTAGTGGGTTCCGAACTATGCAAAGGTTGCATTTTAAACAGCAGGGGGAAGAGGTCACGGTTCCTAACAGTGGCCGGGAGCTGCCTCCTTTTCCAGGTTAAAGGAACTGACATTAAGAGCGGCCTGGAAGCTTCGAGATGGAGTTGGGGGCCTGGTGGGAGCTGGGGTGCGGGGCGCAGGGATGCCTCTGTACTGATTTCAATAAAGCTTCCCACTGTTTTAGGGACCCCCGTGCCCTTGCCGCTTGTTTCAGACCGTCACCACGTGCACGTGCAGCTGCGCCTCTGTTCTCTGCGGGGCGTCCGCCCACACGGGGCGGTGTGACGCGGCCACCGCGGGGTGGGGTGGCCCACGGCGGGACCCCGTGCTTGGCAATGCGGCGGGCGGCACTGCGGTCGACGGGTGCCCGCGGGGCGCGGGCGGCGAAGCCGCAGGGGGGCGCCCTTCGCCCAGACCCCGCTGCGAGCGGGCGGGCCCCATGGGGCGGGCGGGGGGCGGGCCCCGCGCACCGGAGGCGGCTCCCCGCGCCGCGCCGGGCCCGCACCCGGGGCCAGAGCCGAGGCCGGGACCCGCAGGCCGCGAGTCCGGAGCTCGACTGGGTCCCAGACATCTTTGCTGTGCGGGTGCTGCTGGAGGAGACCGGGGAGAGGTTCCTGGTGACGAAGTGCCGCGGCGACATGACGGTGCGAGAGCTCAAGGTGGAGCTGGAACTGATCGCCGGCATCCCCCTGGACCTGCAGCGGCTCCGGTACCTGGACCAAGGTGCCCGCCAACCCTTCCCGCGCCTGTCCGCCCTCCGTGCCGGCGCCCAATCCCTTCTGAGCCCGCAGACCCCCAGGTGTCAGACCCCACCCCTGGGAACCCCAGATGGAGAAGCAAACCCTGGCCACGTAGATTCCCCCCATCCCAGCTGGCTGGGTTCAGTTAGACCTGCATCTCGAGGCAGACCTGTCCGCACAGCCCTCCTGGGGCAGGGCTCCAGGCCCAAGCAGGTCCTGCCGGTCAGAGCCTAGGTCCCAACACACTGCACAGCAGGCCCTCCGCAGCTTCACCAGGGACCCAAGTCCCAAAGCCAGCAGTGTCCACACAAGAGGGCAAGCCTGCCCTATCCTAAGCCCCCCAATCTCTAGCCACTCAGTGGGACCCACAATCCAGGGCAGAGCTGTTTACAGCAGGACCCCGGGCTCAAAGCAAACTTCTAGTCCCCACGCTGGATGTAAGAATTCCCATCCCCCAGCCGGCCATGTCCACGCAAGGACACCACAGACCGAAACAAACCTGCCCACTTTAGGACCCCAGAACCCAGAACAAACATTCCCAAGACTGAACCCCAAATCTCCAGGCTAACCACGAATGCCTCAGAACCCCAAGTCCTTCAGCAACTGTGTACATCCAAGGATGCTAAAGCATGAAACAATCCCTGTTCACCTCAGGACCCCAAAACCCAGAACAAACCTGCCAAGACTGAGCCCCAAATCTCCAAAGTAACCATGACCGCCTCAGAACCCCGAATCCTCCAGCAGCTGTGTCCATGCAAGGATGTTAAAGCTCAGAACAAACCCTACCCACTTTAGGACCCCAAAACCAAGAACAAATGTGGCCAAGACTGAACCCCAGATCCCCTAGGCTATCTATGTGACTATCAGAACCCCAAATGTTTCAGCAACCATTTTCACTGATGAACTCTAAAGCCTGGGACAAACTGCCCCCTGAGGACCCTATGCCTGTGTTTGAACCTCAAATAAAGTTCCTAAGACACCCCTACCTACAACAGAAACCTGAGGCCCAAAGTAGACTCTAACCAGATCTTGACCTCAGTCCCAGAGCAGATCTGCCCTATCCTAAGCCCCCCAATCTCTAGCCACTTGTGCATCCAAACCCCAATCCATCAGTCATCTCTGTGTACATAAGGGTGTCAGAGCCCAAAACAAACTTCCCACATCTGGACCCTGGAATTCAAAGCCAACTCTGCCCACACCTGAAACCCAGACCCCAAGTTCACCCTGATTGGCTGTACCAGAGCCCCAACCCCAAGCAAAGTGTTTTCATAAGGGCTCCAAAGCATGAGACAAATTCTGCCCACAGTAGGGCCCCCAAAATCAAGTCAAACCCACCCATATCCCTGCCCAAATCTCCACGGAAACCATGTCTACGTCAGCACTCCAAGGTTTAAGCCACCATGCTCATGTAAGGAGCCAAAGTTCAAAACAAGCCTTGCCTTCTACACGAGGACCCCAAAACTTAAAGCAAACTCTGCTTGTATTTTAAACCCAAATCCCTCAGCCAAACTGATGCACCTCGGAAGCCCACATTCTAGACCCAACCCTGTTTGAGTCAAAACCCCAAATCTCAGAGCAGAGAACCTGTCGCCATCAAGACCCCCAATCTCAGGGAATACCTGTCCCTCACCCCCAGTCTCCACACTACCCACAGCTACATCAGAACCCCCAAATTTCAAAACAAGTCCTGCCCATGCAAGGACTCCATATCCCAGAACAGACACTCCCCATATACCAGGGCCCCAAAACAGAAAGTATACCTTGCCTTCATCAGAACCACAAATTTCAAAGCATACCCTGTCCACGTTTGAACCCTGAACACTGGCACTAGCCCAGCTGGTATTTGAACCTCGAATCTCAAGCTGTGTTCTTGCCCACATCAGGAGCTCAGAGCTAGCCCAACCAGAATCGGAACCTAGCACCCAAAGCTCACGAGGTCTAAATCAGGACCCCCGGGCTCCCTATCCAGACACCCCACGCGGGAGGCACCCAGTGGAAGGCCGACCCTCTAGCGCCCAGTCTCTCCCTCTCCATCAATCTCCTTCTGTCGGTGTGAGGGCCTGAATGTCCCTGCCCCGATCCCTACAATAGTTGGGATATATGAGAACAAGAACACAGCCCTGGCCTCCCTCGTCCCCACACCTGGTGGAAAGCGATGCAAAACCACTCGGGGAAGAGGAAGATGTGACAGGCTCTGTGCGCTCAGCACCGAGAATGTGAACTCGACACCGCAGGGACTGGATCGCTGGGGACAAACAGGTCCGAAGCCGCCTGGCCCACAGCCCGCGCTCCCCCAGGCTGCCTTCCGGGACTCAGTTTCCCCGTCTGTGCCCTGAGCCCTCTTAGCCAGAGACGTCTCGGCGCCAGGCCCTCCCTAGACAGAAAAGACTCGGGAGAGTCATAGGAGGAGGGCTGAGGTCCCTTCCTACGCATTGGTTGTACCCGAGGAGTTGGCCAATGCTCTGGGATATTTCTGAGGCTTTATTCGGAGGAAACTCGATCTTGAACCTGGTCTGTATTTCACACATGAAAAAGGATCGCAAGTTCCAAAACAAGTGATTTGAAAATGATGTACCCTGAACGGTTGATGTCCGGCCCCCCTTCTGTTAATTTATTTCTGTTGATGAGCTACACTGAGCAGTAAATTCAAGAAAGCGAAGTCACAGGACTGTGACTGACCACTGATGTCACAATCCTGTCCCTCAGCAAGCACTTAGCGACTCTTAGAAGTCTGACCTCTCTTGGGGTGCAGTCTTCCCTGTGGATGGCCAGCGAGAGAGGGGGACCTCGCCGATGTACGCAACGTGGGCTCCGGCCTTCAGGAAGGAGCTGACGCCTCTGTGCCACCTCAGAGGTGGCCAGGGAGGGCCCCACGAGAGAATGTGCGTGGAATCCTCGAGGGCACGAATCTGCAAGGGGTGAGCGACGGCACGGGCGAGGGTCGCCCTGACACGTCTGTCGACTGGGATCATTTATTTAGCGGGTGGTGATTGGTGGTGTCGGAGTCGAAGGCCTGCCTGCGGAACCAGTGGGCTGTGGTCTCTGGAATAGCTGTTCGGCACGTGCGGCTCCAGCACGCGTCTGGCACAGGGAAACACAGCTGTACGCAGTTTGTTCAAGGTTGACGGGAAGACAAGTTGTCTTGCTTAGACTAGTTGCTGATTACCTTCTGGGTTGGAAGCACAAATAAGACCCTAATTAACAGATTTGCTAGCCACCATTTCCTCTTTACAACCACCATCCGGAGTTGCTGGTGACCAGAGATGCCCAAGGAGCCTAGAAGGACCAGCCCCTCGAGCTACAGGGAGGGCAAGGCCGGAGGAAGGCCTGGCTTTGCCATGTTCTAGGGCCTGAGTTTGCTTATCAGCTCATGGAGGTGCAGCCCTCGCTTGCCACGAGGATTAAATACTGTAGGTACCTCTGGTCTGGCTGGGTGGCTCAGGTGGTTGGAGCGTCGTCCTGTGCACCAAAAGGTTGTGGGTTTAATTCCCGGTCAGGGCGTGTATGGGAGGCAACCAATTGATGTTTCTCTCTCATATCAATGTTTCTCTCTCCCTCTCTCTCTTCCTCTCTCATCAATAAAAACATATCCTTGGGTGAGAATTAAAAAAAAAAAAAGAATGTAGGGACTTCTTTCAGGCACTTAGTAATCACTTGATCATAAACCCTGCCCCACCCCCAGAAACAACCTCATGAAATCCACCTGCAATAAAAGGTAAACCAATCCGGGAAGAGTTGAAACTTTACATGTGTGGTGTTGCCAGTGGAGAAAGCAAATTCTCCTGTTATATTGTAGACGATAATTTAAAAGATCCAACAAATTTTTGCCCTTGTAACTTCTTTAGCCAGTGATGACATTAGGCATGGTAATTTAGTTGGATATTTGTAACTTGTATAACTACACTGTGTTGTGTTATATATAAGTAATAACATAGTTACTTTGAGTTTTAGTTCTACTTGTAGAGTTTGTCTCATAAGATGACCCTACTGACTCGTGTGTTCAATCGAAATAGGATGAGTTATAATTACAAAATTTTATAAATCGTTGCCTTTTTTTTTTTTTTTTTTTTGGTTTGGGTTCTTTTTGCGCTGAGCCCAATTAATTTTCTAAAAACATTAAACGACCACAACAGATTAGCGTGGCATCATCAAATGAGATTCGCGCTCAAGGTTCTGAAATTGTCTTTGTGATACCCAAGGTCAGACCACCTCTTAACTAAACCAACGTAATACTCTATCTCAAATGCCCTTTTTTTAAAAAAAAGAAAAACTGATTCTCTGTAGGAGATTTGATGGATGACACTACCTTGAAGTTCCATGATGTCGTTCCCGGTGGGATTATTTCACTATGTGTCTGGCGCTATGATGGATGGATAGACCTGGTCCTTGCAGCGGTGGAAGAAGATACCAGTAAGGTGTTCTCATGATTCTTTACATGATCATTACACAGAAGCAACGGTAAAGTGCGTGGGTGGGGGTGGTCGCCTGCTCTGGAATGCGAATGTTTGAACGGAACTTTCAGAGCAGGGAGGGAGGATAGCGAGGACCATTCCCAGTGATCAGAGACCGAACTGGGTGTTTCCGCTCCCTCGCTGGGCTGGTGATGTCACTGTGTTCGCACACGTGTGATGTATGACCCACTCATGCCCCCCGAAGGAATCGAGGCAGCGTGTTCTCTATTCACGCGTGTATTTTGTAAGCTTGGAAACCTCATTTAACGCCCTGTGAAGCACCCAATCCGGGAGATTGTGGGCCCGAAGCATCAGCAGGTGCCCGTCCTGGCGGGGTCTGCGCCCCTCCCCCACACACAGCGGGCACCTCCGCGTTGCCTGGCCTTGTGTTGGGCTGTCAGCTGGGCTCTGGGGCGGGCGGTGGGGGGAGGAGAAGGAAACCGGCTTGTCCACCCAACAGTGAAGATGAATCACTCAGACACAAGGGGGCAAGTGTATGTTCTTTCTAGAAAATGAACTCGGATGGAAAGCGATGAGCTGTGGTGCGGGGGAGATGGAGTTCACTTCGGCTGGGAAAGGGGTCAGGGAAGGCTGGGTGCAGAAGGGGGTTGGGGTTAGGTTCGGGAAGGGTGGGTAGGTTTGGGGGAGGCAGGGCCAGGACTTCAGCACCCCCCTGCATGGGGGCACAGTCTCAGAGGAAGGGGGGAGCCCTGCCCAGCTGTCCACACAGCCAGTCCCTCCCAGGCCCTTCCCTGTTTCTCTCCTTGCCCCAGGCCCCCAGTGACTCGGCCTGTGCCTGGGCGTTCGGGCTCGGGCTCTGGAACTGGGGTGGTTCCCCTTGTGGTGGGTCACCCCTGCCTTGTGCGTGGTGGCATCCTCCCCTCCCCGCCGCCCCACACCTGACACCACAACAGGGGCAGAGCCCCCGCCCTGCTCAGAGCCTTCATCCACCCCGAGAGGCTGATGTTACGGGGCTGTTGTTCACTGAGAGCCGAGTTCAGAGTGTTCCAAGCACCGGCGGCGACGGTGGGCCCGAAAATAGACCAGAAGGTCAGCGTCCAACCCTCCGTGCTGGTGGGGTCTTCCTCACCGGCCACAGCCACCTTCCTCTGGACACCCAAAAATCTATTTTTCTCTCATCAAAACACTGACAGGAAGAATTTCCTGCCTTCTGAGCCTGCCTGATGGTAAATCCGTTTCCTGGCCATGTATAGAATGTCAGACAACGTCCTCCTGGGCTGTCTTCCAACTTCTCCATTAGGGTCTGCCCCCTCTGTCCCCACCGCGAGCCTCTGCTTGGCACTCGGGCACCCCTTCCCTCGGGAGCGCCCTGTCCCCCGCCCAGCCAGGGGTGTCTGTGCTCGGGACCCACGGACACTCATGTCACCCTGCACCCTGCCCAGCTGTCCTGCCTCGGCGTGACTGAAGACTCCCCGTACCAGACCGCACACGTGCAGCACCTGGGCGCGCAGCAGTGGAGGAGGTGGACCGCGCAGAGGGCCTTCGTGGCGCTGTACGTGGCCTCGCACAGAGGACACGCGGATGCCGTGCGCTTCCTTCTAGAACACGGTAACTGAGCGACGGCCCAGGGTGTCTGAGTCGGAGTCCTTTGTGAGTAGGGGGAACAGAGTGGCCTGTCTTCCCGGTCCCTTCAGCGATGGGTTCCTGGACCCAGGTCTTGTCCCCGCCCTTCATGGTCCCCGTCTGAGGGGTCTGAGGGGCCTTAGGGAATGCTGGCCAGGTCTCAGGGAAAGGACATTCTCTCTGCGGTGGGAGGTGGACCTTCCGGGGGAGCAGCTGGCTGCCATGTCCGACCAGACACACTGGGGTGTTCCCTGCGGGCCTGCAGGATCTTCACCCCAGCTGGGGCTGGGTTTCTGCCATGGTCCGAGGGCTGGCCCCCAGCTGGCATCGTTCCCTTGGTGGTAGGCAGGCCGGCCAGTCGCCCGCCTCTGGGCCTTTGCGATCATCACCCCAAACCCTTCCACCCTCCTCACCCACCCCCCTGCCGCCGCCTCATCCTGCATCGTTTCCGAACGCAAGGGCTGTCGTAGGTTCTGCAGGAGTGCACTTGGTCTTCCCTGGCTATGGTTGAGAAAAGAGGTCCACAGGCTGAGGTGTAGACCGTTCGAGAACAATAGACAATAGCTGTGGCCAGGCCAGCGCTTCCTCAGGAAAAGGAAGAGCGTGTGACACACGGGGTCTTCGGTGGGTTTTGGCAGCTCAGAGGGAGCCCTCACCCAAGGGTTACCCTGTCAACCTGTCTCCAAATCAGACCCCTTTCTTTCCTGCCTGCGGCCTTGACCCCAGCCTCTATCCGCCCATCTTTGCTTTTCCCCCACTTCCGCCAAGCAGGAGGGGGGGCCTGTCAGATGCTCGGGCCAGATGACCGATGACGCAGCCGTGATGGACGGAGCCCTCCCCTGCCCTCTGCCCTCTGCACTCCGCCTGTTGTAAGATGAGAGATGGGCTCTTCACAGCCCAGTAGTCCTTTCAGCTCATAAACAGCCCTTTCACTCTGCTGGAGCTGCGATGTATTTGAAAGCGCCAGTTAAAGAATTACAGCCGGCTTCGCAAAGTTTTCTGTCCCCTGCAGACAGCCGTGGCGGAGAGGCGTCTTGAAGGCTGGGCGCCACGAGAACGGGTTCAGTTAACCCTTTCCCTCGCCCACCACATCGCTCAGAGACACGGCTGCCCCGATGTCAGCTGCCAGGGATGACATCGCCTTGTTTTCGGCATTATGACATTCGTCACCCGGAATTGGATTCCATGTCGCGAGTCCATATCGGACCCCTGTCACTAGCCCATCCACCTGCGGGAGGCAGTGAGGCAGATCATCAGAGTCCAGTCTGTCCATGAGTCAGGGCCACCTGGCGTCTGTCACCTCCCGAGCGCCTGTCCCCCCCAGGCATTGCGCTGAGTGCTGGGGAGGAGAAGGCAGTGATCAAACAAACGGGGTTTTCTGCCCGCGTGGAGCTTATGAAGGGAAGTCAGCAAATGATTACAAGTAATTAATTCCATGGCCGATTGAGCACAGCATGTTCTCAAGGCCCAGACTGTCCACTGAGCCGATGCAGCGGAGCTTGTGGGGGGTTGGGGTGAAGGAAGGGTTTCATGAGGGAGCGCATGAGACCTCAGGAGGGGTAGGGTGAACCCAGGGGGGTGAAAAAAAAGGGTAAGAGTGTTGTTGGCAAAGGGCACAGCATGTGCAAAGGGCCAGGGGCAGGATGAGGGAGCAGGGTATATTTCAGGGACGGAGACGGGGGGCTGGTATGATGGCAGCATGCAGGGTGGGGAGGGATCACATTGGTGGGGGTGTCGCCGGAGTGACGAGGGGGAGGTGGCTGAGATAGAGCCGAGAGACCTAGAACATTACCCCAAAGGCAAGGGATGTCAGCAACGGGACTGGAGGAGGGTGATGCGGGCTTTTCCAAAGGCTGCTGTCGAGGAGCCTGGAGGCGGGCGGGGCTGGCGCTGAGTGTGGGCGCGGCGGTTGGTTCTCCCAGGCACCCTTTTCACAGCCTCGGCCCCGCCCAGGCCTCTCCTGAGTATGCCAACTTTCTCATCGTACAGGGGCCAGCTGCCACGGGCAAACCCCCATGGGCCGGACACCCCTGCACGCGGCTGTGGCCATGAACCAGTTGGACTGTATAAACCTCCTGCTGCAGTTCGGGGCCTCTGCCATTGCCAAGGACGCCCTGGGGGTGAGCCCGAAGGCCATCGCTCGCAAGCTGAACTACAAGCAAGCTAAGCAGCGAATGGCCCTGTCTCACTGGATGGCGGAGTCAGGGAGGAAGAGCCCGGTGCACGTGAGGCTGAACAAGGCTTTGCAGAGAGGAAAGCCCCGGTCTGGCTCCAAGAACAAAACTTAGGTCCCGCGGGGGATGTTGGCCGGTCGATGCCGATGTGGGTGACTTTGTAAGAGTTCAGATCCACGGTGACCCGTGGTGAACAGGAAGGCAGGAAAACATGGCAATTAATCTGAATCAGATAGTAAATTATCTGTCCTGGTTGCAAATGACCTGAGGAGTGAGTTGATAGGAATAGGTGAGTTGTGTTCATTTTGTAATCCATTACGGCCCTAATAGGCTCGATGCCAGCCTTTAATTTAAGCTATTTGTACGTGGGCCCCAATAACGCCGCTTGGGGTGATGAGAGCCAATTACCTTCTCCCCTGACTGCAGGCCATCTAATGCATCCGGATAATAGGAGCACCCAGCAATAATGAGAACAGCTCTGTTGTTATTGTACAAAACAAGTGTTGGCAAATGTCGGGAGGTCGTGTGTAGTGTGGGCTGTGACTCTCTGTTTGTAAAACTCGCAGGACTGAAGGCTCCCACAGCTAGGAATGTTCCAGAAGTTTTCCTGAGCCCTCCTTGAGGGGTCTGCTGTTTGTGTCGGGGTTGGGGTGGGGCTGGGGAAGAGCTTCGTTCTCCACCGGGCGCCTGATTGGTTGAAAGGTGACAAGTTGGCACTGAATTTGGAGGAGGCAGTGTAAAAAATGATGGTGACGCCCTGGCCGGTTTGGCTCAGCGGTTAGAGAGTCCCGGGTTCGGTTCCCGCTAAGGGCACGTACCTCAGTTGCGGTTTGTCCCGGGCCCTGGTTCGGGTTGTGTGGGTGGCAACCACTCCATGTGTCTCTCTTACATTGATGTTTCTCTAGCTCTCTTCCTCCCTCTCTCCCTCCCGCTCCATTTAAAGATAAATGCAAAAATGTCCTCGGCTGAGGATGAAAAAAAAATGATGGTGAGCTCATGGAAGGAGCTGGCCCAAGCACCCCTCTGGCCAGCTTTCTCCTTTCCTGCTAGAAGCGGGTCACCGCAGGACCCTATGGGGCAGTGTCTGCTTGATCCCAGGCTCTGCCTCAGCCTGGCTGCAGACCTGCGGGGCCAGGCTGCTGTGTGGGTGCGTGAGCTGGTGGGGAGATGATAAGGAAAGGTGAGGACTGGGGCAAACTCACGTGCCCTCCCCTGTCTGAAGAGAGCACCATGGTTCTGCTCCAGCCGAAATGGGGCTCAAAGGCTGCTAGATCTTTCCAAACTGGCTGGGGCTGGAAATCTGGCTTTTGGACATAAGTTCTGTTTTTCACGTGTTGGCTTGAGGTTTTCTTAGGGTTGTGATAGGGTACAGAAAGGAGGAGAAAATGTGCGGCCTAGCCATAAGACTGCCCTTCATCGTCAGATACACTCAGTCCATGGAGGGAAGCTGTGGAAACCACCCGAGGCCCGTCGGGACAGCCCTGGGCTCCGAAGGGCCAGGCGGGAACGGCCGTGGGCCCTGCCACGCATGTTTCTCCGAAGCCCCACGTCCTGGCGCCCTTTGCAATCGCCGACTCCACCACGGAAGCTGTGTCTTTGAAGTGATGGAGGCGGCGCCGAGTCCTGGCCCCCTGCTTTCTGACTCAGCTCCCAGGGACTGGCTTCGGCTTTTAGATTAATTGGCCGCATTTCCTGCTGCCACAGTAAGTCAGAGCGTGTTGCTGTGGTTCTGTGCTCAGCAGATGTGGCAGTACCGTCCCGCTCAGCAATCTGTTTGACAAATACGCGTCAGGGAGAAAGTAGACTTCAGCATCAACTATGTCAAAACGGAGACCTTGTTTTTGGCAGGCTTTCTCCAAAGTCAATAGGCAGATATTAAATAACCCCATCAAGCAGGTCAATTCATTTAGCTAATGAGGTGTGCTGGGGAGGGGGTGACTCGAGCACCCTTTTAACTTAACAAGCGGCATTACTCAAAGTCATGTTTTGCCTGGGGCCTCACTCTGTTGTCTTTGTTTTAGGAGAGCCTGCCGCCTGCTACTTGTCCCCAGAACTCCAGAAGCAAGCACTTTATCTTCTATGGCCCCAATTCAATTAGACACTTGGCCAGAAACTGGGCAGGAGCCAAACTCTGCAGTGACATTTTGCTCAGTCTGTGGCAGGGTCGCCTGAACACTCCTGTGGGTCCTGGGGGGCTCTTTATTCGAGATGATCTCAACTTTCTCTCTCTTATATTCCAACAATCGGCATCACAACTTCAGTAAAACACGTCCAGGGCCATAGAAAAGTCGATGTGCAAGTGATCACAGTCATGTTCCATTTGTAGATATTTCATCAAACGTTTCTTTGGAAGGTGGTTGTTTTTTTCTTTTTTGGTCATACTTTGGAGACAACAGAAAACATTTTTTGGTGAGGGGTAGCAATCTCAAACATTTCTGTAGGACTTTAAAATGCTTTTAGGCCCTGGCCGGTTTGGCTCAGCGGTTGGAGCATCGGCCCGCGGACCAGAGAGTCCCGGATTCGGTTCCCACTAAGGGCACGTACCTCAGTTGCAGTTTGTCCCTGGCCCCGGTTGGGGTCGTGTGGGTGGCAACCACTCAATGTGTCTCTCTCACATCGATGTTTCTCTCTCTTTTTCCCTCTCTCCCTCCCTCTCTATCTGAAGATAAATGCAAAAAATGTCCTCGGGTGAGGATAAAAAAATAAATAAAAAAGTAAAATTCTTTTAGACCCAAGGCGTTGGGGATGGGTGGTCCTCAGTGATGAAACCGCTGTGGCCTGAAATCACCAGCCTCAACTCCTGGAGAGAGTGGGCTTCCGCGGGGACGTGAGCACGGTCGGCCCCTGGGCACGCTCTCCAGCCCCTTCTGTCCGTCTCTTGTATTTCTTGTGAGGCGGGGCCTTCAGTCACTAGACCAGGGCAAGGAACTGAGGGGACAGTGTGGAGATGCAGAGTTTGGGGCCAGTGTGGGCCCCAGATGACATCTTGCGGGTTCTGCCCTGTGGTCAGAGGTGGAGGGTGGTCAGGGCGCCTGGTCCCCAGGGTGCTGGGAGGGCGAAGTAGGAAGTGCCCGATGGATGCTGGCGGTGATCATCGGAGAACTTGGTGGGAGAATCTTGCCGAGGTCAAGGGCTACATCACTGCTGTTTGAGAGCGGGAAGGCAGGAGAACCATTTGGTGCCTTTCTTGATTCCCTTAACTTCCCACATCCAGAAGACGGATGAACGGACCCTTTGAGCTCAGTGCCCCCACGAAAATGCCACTGAGTGTCCTTGGGTTTCTTGGTGGCCACACAAAGGAGGATTTCTCAGCATCTAGTTGCCGTTAGGGACATTGCTCACCAGTATGCCTTATGTAAGCCGGGAAAATAGTGCTCGGAACCAGGGAGTCCCTTCGGAGAGACGGACCCTCTGTAGAGGCGGATGACAGCTGTTTCCACTTGCCTTGGCTGCCAGGACGCTCAGCGCTGAGGTGAGGCCCCCCCTGGAGTCAATATCCAATCTCTTCCGCTGAGTGATTTAAAACGGGCCACCCTGGCTTGCACATGTTTAATTACAAGTTGCCCCAAATCCTTCTGGAGGTCCATGCAGTGTAAACTAGAAAGAAGTGACACAGACTGTGGTTCAGAGTGGGGCTGAGCACCTTTCCCAGCCTCCTGGCCATCTCGCCTCGGGTCACCTTGCCCCATTCTCTCAGGGGCGACTAAACTAAGATGCTGAGACCATTGACCTGGTCTCCAGCATCCTCCAGAGCCTGGGTGTGGGTGCCTGGCTGCCCCTGGACCCCGCTCACCGTCTGGGTCTCTTGGCTCTAACTGGTCTTCAGCACTTTGCCATCTCTCTCCAAAGATTTGTCTACAGGTGTCAGCTGAGCTTGGGTTCTGACCGACTCCCTCTCAATTCTCATACTCCAACAAGGAGAAAGTCTCCACTGGGGCCAGTGTATCGCAGACGCCTCCCCACCCCCTCCAGGCTCCCTTTTATAAACACACAAATAGAGTGACCTCTGCAGGCAGCTGTGTTCTGCGGGGAGTTCATAATCCTGCCTTGTTTTTGTGTATTTGTGGGCCAGAGTCAACTCCTTTCTTCACTCCTCACCAGTGACCTCGGAGCAAACGGTCGCCTCCCAGGACCCCATCATCTCCACACCAGCCGGGTCGTGCTGGGGAAACGAGGCGACCAAGGTGTGCCATGCACTCGGACCTGAAGCTCCGTGGTGTGGCCCTGGGGAGGGCCGGGCCTCGGGCAGGCAAGTCTGTTTAGAATTTTCCTTTGCCACCGGCCGTGTGGCTTTGAGCCAAGCAGTTGTCCGTCTCAGAACCTGAGTTTCTCCCTCGGTGACATTTGGGTTAATGAAACCTGCCTCTGTCATCACTGGCACAGAGCACACACTTGACAGATAGTAGCCATTATTATTATTAAGTATTATTACTACTACTACTACTACCAGCCCTTCATTTGCTCAAAGTGTTTGCTCTCCGGGAATCAGTTGTCTCCTGGTTTCCAGAGAGCCTCCTACATTTTCAGCAAACCTTGTACAATTAGAGTCCTCCTCCAGAACTAACAGATAATTTCCCCGAAACCTGCTGATGTGTGGTGTTAAATACAGGGCTTCCTCAGCAAATTCTAGCCAGTCGTTCCGAACTTGACTGCAGGGCCAGTTCCGCAGGAGGGAGAGAGCCCCCCGAGAGAGGAAAATTCCAGCCGGGGCTCGGCGCTGCAGTTCGCCGGCGCCCAGCAGAGGGCGCAGGGACCCCGCGCCACCCGGGCCAAGGCCTGCTCGGTTCAGCACGAGCGTCCCGATGCGATGCCGCAGTCTGCGTCACATCCCGAGTCCAGACGGGGGCTCCCAGACAGCGCCCCCGCCCGGGCCTCTGCAGTCGTCTGCGGCATGGGCGTGTCAGCACACGCACCTGTTCTGGGAGAACGCTCATGGCTCTCATCACATCCCGGAAGGGTCTGTGCCCCCTGCCTGAGGGTTCTCAAACCTGGGCACGACACGGGACCCTACCCCACCCGCTGTCGGTGTCACAGTGCGGACAGTGTCACCTGCGCACGGGGCTGGTGTGCCTGGTCCGCTTGCACCCGGGAAAACCAATACTGAGACCCTGGGG